TGAGGGTGCGGCTTTGCGACCTGCTGGAGCGGGATACAGCACTCATTTGTGGGAACCAGCCCCCTCTTCTGCTGGGCAGAGCTGTGATGAGCGCAGTGTGCCTGCCATTCTGACTGAAGTCTTCCCCTTGCTTGCTCTCACCGCCCTCCCACCTCCTTCCCCATCAGTGCCCCCTCAGGGCCCCCCCTCAGGACCACCTATCAGGGCCACCTATCACAGCCCCCCATCAGGACCGCCTATAAGTGTCCATCAGGGCCGCCTATCAGGGCCACCTATCAGTGTCCATCAGGACTGCCTATCAATATCCATCAGGGCCTCCTGACAGTGCCTCCTGATCAGTGCCCATCAGTGCAGCCTCATCGGGGCCCCCCATCAGTGCCCCCTCATCAGGGCCCCCCATTGGGCCACCTATCAGGGCCACCCATTATGGCCCCCCATCAGGGCCGTCTATAAGTGTCCATCAGGGCCGCCTATCAGTGCCCATCAGGGCCACCTATCAGTGTTCATCAGGGCCTCCTGACAGTGCCTCCTGATCAGTGCTGCCAATTAGTGCCCTTCAGTGCAGCCTCATCAGAGCACATCAGTAAAGGAGAAAAAATACATATTTGCAAAATTTTAAACAGAACCTAAAAAAACTTTTTTTGTTTGTCACCAGGCCTAAGCAATTCCTATTTCCCAATGCCCCGGACATGCAGTTTTGGGCGCCATGCAGCCGATTTAAAAAACTGACACCTAACGTTTTTAGCTGGCTCCTACATTCAAAACAGATTTGTCAAACCCTGCCTACAGGTAAGCCTATAATAAGGCTTTCCGGTAGGTACAGTGAATATCTCCTAAACGTGCACTGCTTAGGAGATATTCACATCTGTAGCAGTCAGGGAGATCACCGGCGCAGGCGCACTGCGCTCTGAATGGATGCCAATTTCAAGCATGCCATCCATTCAGAGTGCTGTGCTGTGGCATTGACTCCTGTGTGCATGTGTGGTAGTGACATTATCAGTGCTCGGCCATTCAAATGACCAGATTGTGTGAACCCAGAAGGAAGATCACGTGAAGTTGGACGCCCTGTCAGCACTGACAGCGCACTGCTGGAAGGATCCACTTTACAGGTAAGTCTGTCACAATGTGCTAGTATGTGGTGCATACTAGCACACTATGACATTACATGCAAGTTAATGTCATAATGTGCAAACATTAATCTAAAGAGTTTACTACTGCTTTAACTAGTTTCCTCTGGCTGTACGTATATATGTGGCCTCTCGGCGGGTGAGTATCAATGCCGAGAGGCTGCATATATGCGTCCCTATGTAAACATTTTCTGTGCTGAGAGTGCTCACCCTGCATGCTCTCAGCACAGTTAATGGCTGGTACCTGAAAGCTCTCAATGCAAACTTGTGATCGGGAGCTTTCCGATCATGTGACCGCTGTGTGACTAGCAATCACAGCGGTCAAATGAACGGAATGTCCTTCTCTGCCTCCCGGCATTTAGAACCTCTTAAAGGGTCAGGAGGCGGTAACAGAAAGGGGTTAAGAGAGGAAATTTTCTCACTCTAAAAAGATTTTTTTTGGTTTTGGTTTTATCCAATCCCTACTCTATTTAAAATTTAGGCGAGGTTCACACTGCTGCAATCCAATTTTGATCTAACTTTCAGTGTGATTATGAAGTGCAACTTGGATGGGATTTGAATATTCTATGGGGCAAAAATTACACTGGAATTGCACCAAAGTAGTACAGGAACTTTTTCCAAAATCGCGCTGTGCTGAGTTACATTGATGTGAATGGGCACTATTGAAAACCATGTGATTTTCATTGTCATGTGATTCTATGTGACTCAAGTCACATCTGACATTGCATTAGTGTCAACAGAGCCTAAAAAGAAAAGCTTTGGCTACGTATACACTTTAACTACTTGCCGCCTGCCCACAGTAGTTTTACTGCAAGCGGGCAGCTGCGGCAATATCCCGTTGCTTGGTACCTGGCCGCTGCGAGTGGCTGGGGTATAATGTGATTGCTATGACCAATCATAGCAATCACATGATTATAATGTAAAAAAAAAGTTATGAATGGCTTCCATTCATGACTGCTTGCTTAGTATTGTTAAGCTATGATTGACCCACAGCTATCACATGGTACCTGGTACACTGTACCATGTGATTAGCAGTAGCCAATCACAGCATGTCAACAGTAAGCAAGCTGTCATGAATGGAAAGCCATTCATCACAGTTACAGTAATAGTGATCATCACTGTTATAAACAATAGCAGTGTACAAAAAAAAAATCCCTGCTCACCCCCCCCCCCCCATGTCACTACTCTTACTACTCTGTTGACCGTATGTAAAAAATAAAAAGTTAAAACATTAAATTAAAAAATAATGTATTTAATTTTTACATACTGTCACCAGTCAGTATCGCTGATCACCGCCACACCATGCTGTACTGCACTTGTGACATTATAGTAATTTGTTTTTTTTCATTCTGGATAGAGTAAGGGAGGGTTATAATGACTGTCAGTTTTTTGTCATCTGTGTCACACTCGGGGAGATAGCTCTCACGTCCTGTCCCATAGCCAAAACAGGAAGAGAGGAAATCCCTTCAAATTAAGGGAATCCCCTGGGGAGCTCCTAGGTCATCAGAACCAGTATTCACACTGGAAGATTTCCCCTTTGTTACTTTTCTGGGGGCAGCCAAAAATGTGGGATTTTCAGTTACTTCACTTTTCATGATAATGGTAAACAAAACAAATAGAAGGTGAACCTCCCTAACAGTGGCACAGACAGCAATAAAAACCCAATAGGTGTTCTAATCCATCTTCATTCTATGCAAAACTAAAAAAAAATGTTTTGCCTTTAGTTATACTTTAACAGTTCATTCACACCAGGAGGTACAGTTAGGTCCATATATATTTGGACACAGGCACAATTTTCATAGTTTTGGATCTGTGTGCCACCAGAATAAATTAAAACGAAACAATCCAAATTAATTTGAAGTGCCGACTTTCAGCTTTAATTCAAGGGGTTGAACATAAATATCAAGTACAAATTTTAGGAACTGCAACCATTTTTATACACAGTCCCATTTTCAGGGGCTCAAATGTAATTGGACAAATGAATATAATAATAAATAAAATGTTAATTTTTAATATTTTGTTGAGAATTCTTTAGTGGCAATGACTGCCTGAAGTCTGAAACCCATGGACACTACCAAAGACTGGGTTTCCTCCTTTCTGATGCTTTGCCAGGCTATAACTGCAGCTGTCTTCGGCTGTTCTTTGTTTGTGGGTCTTTCTGCCTTTAGTTTTGCCTTTAGCAAATGAAATACATGCTCAATTGGGTTGAGATCAGGTGATTGACTCGGCCATTGCAGAATATTCCACTTATTTTCCTTCAAAAGTTCCTGAGTTGCTTTTGCAGTGTGTTTTGGATCATTGTCCATCTGTATTGTGAGGTGCCGTCCAATCAACTTTGCTGGATTTGGCTGAATCTGGACTGACAGTATATCTCTAAACACTGCAGAATTCCTCCGGCTGCTTCTATCTACTGTCAGATCATCAATAAACACCAATGACCCAGTGCCACTGGAAGCCATGCATGCCCATGCCATCACACTGCCTCCGCCATGTTTTACAGATGACGTTGTGTGCTTTGGATCAGGAGCTGTTCCAGGTCTTCTCCACACTTTTTTCTTCCTGTCATTCTGGTACAGATTAATCTTAGTTTCATCCATCCAAAGAATGCTTTTCCAGAACTGGTCTGGCTTTTTTAGATTTTGTTTTTGCAAAGTCTAATCTGGCTTTTGTATTCTTCAGGCTTATGCACCTTGTGGTGAACCCTCTGTATTTGCTCTGGTGAAGCCTTCTCTTGATTGTAGACTTTGACAATGATACGCCCACCTCCTGGAGAGTGTCCTTCACTTGTCTGGATGTTGTGAATGGGTTTTTCTTTACCATAGAGAGGATCCTGCGATCATCCACCACTGTTGTCTTCTGTGGACGTCCATGCCTTTTTATGTTGCTGAGCTCACCAGTGAGTTCTTCCTACCTCAGAATGTACCAAAACTGTTGATTTGGCCACTCCTAATGTTGCTGCTATCTCTCTGATGGATTTGTTTCATTTTTGAAGCCTTACAATGGCCGGTTTCACTTGCATGGACAGCTCCTTTGAACAACAGATTCCAAATGCAAATGCCACGCTTAGAATCAACTCCAGACCTTTTACCTGCTTAACTGATGAAGAAATAACAAAGGAGTAGCCCACACCTGGCCATGAAACAGCTTTTAATTCAATTGTCCAATTACTGGCCCTTTGAAAAAGGTGGGATGGCTATTCATATGAGATGTAATTCCTAAACCCTTCCTTCAATTTGGATGTACATACCCTCAAATTAAGCCTGAGAGTGTGCACTTTCAGCCCGTATCCATTATATAACTATAGCTTGAATATGTTTTGGTAAATACCTGAAAAAAACTAAAATTGTGCTTGTGTCCAAATATATATGGACCTAACTGTACATCTCAGTGTGCATGCTTTTTTGTGCGTTACCGTGTATTACCACATATTGCATTTTAGGGCAGCCTATTCATTTCAAAGCATGTGAAACACACAAATAAAGGTGCTGTATCATAAAATTGTAACACACCATAACGTGTAGTATAAAGTTTTGAGGGCCGTGAACATAGGGTGCAATGAGTTTTAGGGGTCATGATCGCTCGCTCCTTTGCTAGATGCTTAAGGGTGCCATTAGGAATTAATGGCACCTGAGTGCGTCTGCAAAAAGCAGCTCATATTTGTGCAGTATGGGAAAACATGCAATTTTGTATGCATTCCAGCACCAAATTAATTCCTGTTGTGAACAAGCCCTGAATAAATTATTTTTATGTAATTTGTACTTTACCTAATTAAATGTACTATCAATGTTGGCCATGGTTGGATAGAGATTTTTCAGTGTCACAGATCTACAATAGTAGCTGTGTCTTATATGCATTATTTTGATCTATTTGCAGGACTTTGATAGATGGAGATAAAAAGGCTGGCTTTTCTGTTTTCTGGGCTGATGAAGGGTTGGATACAGGTCCAATTTTACTCCAGAAAGTATGTAACGTGGAGCCCAATGATACAGTGGATTCTCTTTACAATCGGTTCCTCTTTCCTGAAGGTGTTAAGGCCATGGTGAGTGACCTACGTTTGTTACCTCTAAAAAGAAAAACATACTAAAAAGTTATAGTATGCATCACTGAATAGCATACATCGAATAGGCAACATTTGCACATCTCGTCACAAAAATCACTTTATTTTGCTGCTTTGGGTCAAAATGACCAGTATCCAGAAATATTTGATGCCATAAAGAATATTTATATAAAAGATGAGTGCGCTGTACACTAACAACCATAAACAATAATCAATCAAATAAATGCTGCTACATAAAAAATGTGCATAAATTAATTGAAATGATATAAGTCCACATTCATATATTATAATAATTAAAAGTCCCAAAATCCAATAACACAGTGCTAAAGAAATCCTCCAATGGAAAGTGCATAGGTGCCCACAATGCTTCACACAAAAGAAAAAATCAGCCTCTTACCAGAGACTTTAATCTCCAATCGAGAGATCAAACTAGCAGACGGTGTTCAGATCCCACACTGACACCCTAGTTAGCCGTATCAAGAAGATGAATAGGAGATGAATGGACAACTACAGGTTCACTTGAACGAATCGATCACATCAGACAACTCTCCACATCATGCAAGGAAAGGTTTAAAACAGAAGAAGAAAACTTCTTAGTGGGACCTGATAAACCAGCAAAGAATTTATTAAAGTATTGCACTTACATAGATAAGGTGCATAAAGGCAGTGTAAACATGTAAAGTTCCTGTGGTGTCAGACCACCGGCTAGAATGAGGTGACGTCACAGAAAGCTCTGCTTTTTTCCCCTTTTCTGTCTTATATAAGGAATTTTTAGCCATGGAAAATTACAAAGACATACTGTATGTTATCATCCCAGTTTGTATGGGTATTGAAAACAGTTTTACTTATGTTTTAAAGTTTTCTAATGTGTCTGTATTATCCAGTGTGGTCATATTGCTATAATGGATATGTGAGAGAATAGGGCACTCTGGTAAAAGAAGTCCGTTAGCATAGAAGTCCAAAAGGTAGACTGGGAGAGACTTAGTAAACAGCAGGCATGATACTCGGTAATGCACTACAGCAGCACTCCAATAGAGAGAAGCAAGGCTCTGGCAGGTAAGAAGACAAAAAAGAAGGTGCTTCTAAGTGCAATGCAGCATTGATTTATTCAAAGACAAAATTTAAAAGACTCATGGTGAACAGCAAGCTCATCAATCCCATGTAACACGTCATGGATGTCTCCTGTCAAACACTCTCCCAAGCTCTCCTAGCCAACCAGCAGTGTGGAGCAACAGAAGGTAACCAGCAAGATGGCTGTCCGACTTCCAGAGTCAGCGTGGAATGCAGCATGAGCAGACGTGACGTCAAAGGAGGCTAGGAGAGCACAGGAAAATGTTTGACAGTAGACTGCCATGATGTGGCAGCACAGTGGCTAAATGGTTAGCACTTCCGCCTGGCAGTACTAGGGTCGTTGGTTCAAATCCCAGCCACGGCACCACCTGCCTGGAGTTTGCATGGTCTCCCTGTACCTGCATGGGATTCTTCCGGGTACTCCAGTTTACTCCAAAGACATGCTGGTAGGTTAATTGGATCCTGTCTAAATTGGCCCTAGTATGTTTATGTATGAATGTAAGTTAGAGACCTTAGATTGTACACCCCTTGAGGGTTAGGGACTGATGTGAATGTACAATATACATGTGTAAAGCGCTGTGTAAATTGACGGTGCTATATAAGTACCTGAAATAAATAAATGACATGTTACATGGGATTAATGAGCATGCTGTTTAAGTTGATTCTCTGAGTGTTTTTAACTGTGTCTTTGAGTAAGCGCCTTCTTTTTTGTCATCATATTGTTGAAGAATATGTAAAATACAGTATTAGGAGTTATTCAAATAAAAAGCATAAACAATTGTAAGGCAATGATAATTATGTTGTAAATATGTTATTGGGATGTATTGTATTTTTAAAAAATTTTTTTATTATCCAGTACACAATGTAATATATTATATAATCTATCATAGATTTTTGACACAGGAAATGTTTCTGGTTCTAAAAACGTACATATAGTTATAGTAGTTACATACTGTTTGGTCAGGTTGAAAAAAAAAAAAAAACATCAGTCAGGTACGATGACAGTTATCACAAGGACTTTATCAGTTAAAGAGCATCAGACTACAGTAATCTAAACCCTAAAGCCGGGAGAGATCCCTGCATCAAGAGAACAATGTGTGATGTGGGGATCTCTCTCACTGAGCTATCGTATTCTAATAATTGTAACGTGAAAGGACACCTTTAGTGGGATAAATGTATAGGCTGACATTGCTGACTTCCTTCAGAAAATGCCAATTTCCTGACTGGCTTCTATTCTGAAAAAATGGGGAATAAGCATGCATTATGTATAGTCAGAATTAGAGCAGAATTCCTGATCTACTGTACATATTTGTCCAATGCTTGATGCATTGTTCTCTGTGAAAGTAGAGTGGATGAACATAGCAGCCAATATGTAAAACTTTATAGAAGGAGAAATCAACAATTATATATTCTATAATTGATTATATAATATATTACATTGTGTATTTGTATTGTTTCCTTGTTTTTATTTTTTAAATAAATCACTCTTCATACAACATTCCTTTACTGCACGATTCTGCAAAGGTCAGCAACCATGTTTTTTCCACAAGAAGACTGAATTTTTTTTTTATGCACTGGAGTGACACTACTTGCATGACTAACGCAGTTGACATTAGTCTGCCTCTGTAATCTTGATATGTAAATAATATGTACAGTATGTGACATACAATACTAATTATTTTGCTTTTCTAGCTGGAAGCTGTACAGTTAATTGCTGATGGTAAAGCACCTCGTATAGACCAACCAGAAGATGGGGCCACGTATGAGGGAATCCAGAAAAAAGAAAATGCTAAGGTGATTAACCACTTCAATACCGGGCACTTATACCCCCTTCCTGCCCAGGCCAATTTTCAGCTTTCAGCGCTGTCGTACTTTGAATGACAATTGCGCGGTCATGCAACACTGTACCCATATGAGAGTTTTATCATTTTTTTCACACAAATAGAGCTTTCTTTTGGTGGTATTTAATCACCACTGAGTTTTTTATTTTTTGCTAAATAAAACAAAAACACCTGAAACTTTTGAAAAAAAATGCACTTTTCTTCATTTCTATTTTACAGTTTTGCAAATAAATAACATTTCTTCATAAATTTAGGTCAAAATGTATTCTGCTACAGTTCTTTGGTGAAAATATTAATATTAATTTCTAATAATAATTATTAATATTTTTTTTACATATTTTATTTTTCAGCACACTGTGACCAAATAAATACAATGTTTTTTTAAACACATTATGATTGCTAATACCAGTGCATTTCATTGATATTTGCAATCATTGTTACTGAATGAAACTGATTCATTCAGTCTTTTGTTGTGATTAGCTGTGTTTTGGCAAAGCTGATCACATGATTCAGATGGGCTGTGATTGGCCCTGTCTGTATCATGTGACTCCCTTGACCAGGCACAGCTAACAACATAATTGTATATAATGGATGGCATGACAGGAAGCCATCCATTGTATACAATTGATATGTGATCTGCTGTGATTGGTCACAGCGGTCACATGACACGGGCAATGGGCCGGTGTAGTGATATGTCATTGGCTGTGTTCCGTGGACACAGCTGGTGACAGCTAGCCCCGCTGCACGGCCACGCGAGCGGCTCGTTTTGACAGGATGTCATATGACGCCCAGTCACAACGGCGAGTGTCTCGCCCGGCTGTCAATCTGCTATAGGCCGGGTGGGAAGGTGTTAATGAAGCTGTCCTTCAAAACATGTAAGGACAGGTTCACACTGCCGAGACTTGGGATCGGACTTCTGAAACCCCAAGTCACATGACATGTGAAATCCCATGTCAGTCAATGAGAGCCATCTTGATTAGCACTACTGAAGGCGCTATGACTTTAGAAAAGGTTCCTGTACTGCTTCAAGGCGACTTCTATCCGACTTGTGTCCATAGACTTTAATAAAAGTCACCTCCAAGTTGGATCCCCTTCTATATTGATGTGATTTGGATCCGACATTACAGGAAGATTACCAGGCATTCACTAAAAGTTGCTTCAGAGTCGCTGTAAAGTAGTACTCAAGTCGCCTGGCAAAGTCACACTGCAAGTAGCGCAACTTTCAGGTAGCAGTAGTGTGAACCGAGGCGTAAAGGTTTGTTAATAGTGGTAATTAAATACAGGTGTTCATTGAAGTTGTGTTACTAGATCTGAAAAAATGTATTTAGTATACTTGGAGCAGATCTTGTAAAAATAATATCCTGGGAATCTTTGCCATCTACAGCAGTTTCAAGACCAGAAGTTTATGAAAGGAGCAATAGTTACTCCTGAGCTTCTTGAATAAGTAAGCATAACAAAGGTTTTCTTGACTAGATAGCTTCAATGCTAGATAACATTTGTATAAAAGAAATTGGAAACTTCGTAGTTTTTCATTTTACACTTGAGGTGATTGTAGCCGTATTAGTGTATTTGCGACAGAAACAATTGGGTACTGTCCGTGATACTTTTTTTATTTGCACTAACAAACAATTGTTTGTTAGTGCAAATAAAAAAAGTATCACGGGCAGTACTCAATTGTTTCTGTCATTTTACACTGAGATTCACAGAGATGACAACTACTGGGCTAGAGGGGGCTAGAGTCTAGCTGGGAATAGTAATTGGAGCACAGAACATTTCTGAAGAGGTTTTAGAACTGTTTAATCAGTAAACATGTCAACTGTACTTGAATGTGAAATCATAATAGTCACATTATATGGCTTCTGTTACCTTATAAAAGGTACATTGCTTGTCTACAAAATCCCAGTGTATCTGATGTCCTTCATATTAAAGGAGAAGTAGGGCCAAAGCTTTTTTGGTCCCACTTTCTCCTCTGGGTCATAGGAGTGCACTTAGTTCTGCACTGTTGTCACTCTTATTCAGCCAACTGATGTCACAACCCAGACTCTGGAGGGATCCCAATTTTAGTGTCAGAATGCACCCAGATTCCGAGCCGGCAGTTGGCTCAGCCTCTCAGCACACTGCTAAGAGCCTGAGCCAGCCAGGTCTTAGAGGTGGCGGTGGACAGATGCAGCATCAGGCCCATGCTGCATCCACCTAGGTGAGCATGATTATGTTTTTTGTTTCTTTTAAATCCCACACTTCTCTTTTAAGTCAAAAGCTACAGCTTTTGGAGTACTGGTAAAATTTTCATATTTGGATTTGTGATAGCACCATTCGGTTGTCCAGTACAAGTACAAGTACCCATATATTTGGTTATCGCTCATACATTCTATGGAGTGTAACGAAGACAATTAACCGGACATTTATTTAAAATCCAAATTCTTTACAAGGCTAATGTTCCGAATGTTGGTCTAGCAAGTGCTGTCTGATACTGTACGTTTGATAACTTTTTGAGGTTACAGATTTTATGTCCAAAATTTACAATAGTTGTACTAAAAAATAACCCAAATGTGGGATATTTTTTGCAGATTTCCTGGGACAACTCTGCAGAGGCTATCCATAACTGGATCCGTGGACATGATAAAGTGCCAGGAGCTTGGACTGTCATAAATGACCAGGTGTGAGTCCTGAAGATATACAAAACATTTTTCTCTCATTTTAGTGTTCATTTAAAGCTATTTTGTTACAAAGTTATAAAAGTGTAATGGATGTATGACATTTCCCTAGTGTAAAAGTGGGGTGGTTTATATATGCAGGCTATATGATAATGTTCTGTTAGTAAAATAGAACAGAGTAGGAAAGGGAGAGATAGGTCAGGAAGAGGAAATAGGGGGACAACAACAGTATAATTGTTATATATATATATATATATATATATATGTCAAAAAATTGCAGCGCTGCAATTTTTTGTATATATGTTCTGAGGGTTTGTATGTCTGTATCTATGTATCTGTATATCTATGCCCATTGCACGCAGCTTTGTATTTAATTTATTTGGTAGTGATGACTTTTTCACATTGTTTCAGTATAATTGTTATAAATACCTGGTAATACAGCTTGGCTGCCAGTCTGTCAGAGGTACTGGTAGGACCTGTGACAACATTGAAGGGAAAAATAATGAAGTGCATGGTGTACCACAAGAAAGTTAAGAGTGCACAAAGGTAGGAGTCATTTTAAACTCCAGTGGAATTTCAGATTCTACATGTTTTCACCACCTTTGTAATCATATCTATTAACAGAAGTATCGTTGTGATATTATATTCCCCAGCAGCACTGGTGTAGTCTCCCAGTGCACTATTGCTGAACCATTGTTACTTTGGGGAACCCTACCTGCTTTTAGCACATTCTTCTGAATTGAAAGTGGAGAGAATATAACCTGCTTGAAGCTTTCTTCTATTTTCTCTCAGGCAACAGGATTGGGGCCAGAAATTCAAAGAAAGAGCCCCAACCATTCAACCTCATTTTTGGAGTTCCTGAAAGGCTGGGCAAAATCCAGCAAGCATTCGTTTAGGTAATATTATAGATACATACATTTGCACTGGGCTTGCCAGTGCAGTAAAAAATGACAATTTATACAGAGGCTCCACACAAAAAAGTAATCGTCATGGTGATCACTAGTCCTTTACCCTGGGCACGCAGGAAAAGACCCAGGCACGTGTCTTGATTACCAGGGCTTTGCAGCACCATTGCATTATGTGCAGATCCCCACTGAAGGTTAACTTAAATCCTATTTCATCTTCTGGGTTTCAAACTTCCAGTACTAAATCAGAGCCACTAGGATCAACAGACACTATTAAGTTATCTGTTTTTGCCTGAACCACAGAAAGAAGTAGGAAAGATGTTTATAGCAGTTTGGCTAGAGTGCAAAAATGTAGACATCCAATGTCCTTTTAGGTTTTGTAGAGGTTGATGTGCCAAGAGTGCTCTCTAGAGTGTGAGAAGATATACCATCAGTGCCGGGACAAGGTCATCTAGCGCCCCGGGGTGAAGATGCCAAACTGCACCACCCCCAAAGTTGTATGAGAAATCCCCCCCCAAAAAAAAATCGAGCACCCCTCAAATTTCCTCTCCAGGTACAAATCATCCCCTTCAAATGCCCCCTTTCCAGCAAAGTCCCCCCCCCCAAAAAAAAAATGCCCCCTCCTAGAACAAATCTTACCCCGTCACCCCCCAAATTCCCCCTCCAAGGACAAATCCTCCCCCCAGCACAAATACCCCGATCATCCCTACTAGCACAAATTCCCCCCCAACCCCCTTTTTCTAACTCCCAAACTTTCCCATCCTAGTATAAATCCCCCCACCCAAATCACCCCTTTCTAGCACCTCCCCCCCCAAATTACCCCTACTAGAACAAATCTTACCTGTCACCCCCAAAAAAAATTCCCCCTCCCAGCATAATCCCCCCCCCCCCCCCCCCAAATTTTCCCTCTGGGCACAACAGCACAAATACCCCTGACTTAAAAGTAATCCTCTCCCCCCTTCCCAGCATAAATATTTATTACTCTACCCCCTGCCCCCCACCTGTCCCCAGTGAAATTCTCCTTTCCCTCACAAACACAGACCTCAGATACAGCATGGCACACGGTTGTCTGATGCCCTTCAATCTAGGCTCCTTCTCATCTGGACATGTCAGAGCTCAGGAGGAGCCTAAGAGAGGCAGATTTTTAAACCTTTGCACAGGCAGCTAGTGGGAGAGATGCCGCTGCTGAAGGGGTATGGGAAATACCGCTGGATGTCAGATCGGGACTTTACAGAGTTTTTTTTACCTGCCCCCTACCATCATTCTTTGCTGGGAGGAGATGGAGGCGGGTAAGCAAACTGTAAAATCCCAATGCAAGAGTGCTACAGTGACAGGAGTGTGAAGCTGGAGAGCGCATCCTGTGCCTCCTCCCAGCTCTCTGCTTCACACTCCTGTCACCTGTATACCATACATGTAAAGAAGATGTTTTATTGGGATTTATGAGGATTTTCTGTTCCACCAGATGGTAACGCTTTATGGATCATCTTTACTGGAGGGAACAGTGCCTGCTGGAGAACCATTGCCCATTGATGGAGCACCAAGGCCAGGACTTGTTACAAAAAATGGATTAGTTCTTTTTGGTAAAGATGGAAAAATGGTAGGCAGAAAAACATGAATTAATGTCCTGAACAATGATAACTAGAGTGTAAATCTTTCTTCAATTATGAACATTTCATTACAGCAAGGAATGTATTTTCTTTATCATCTGTGCATTATATTGATCAAAATTATTATTTTTTGCGCTCACTTTATGAGTTTATTTGATGTTTAGTCATTTCTTCGAACAGCAGCATTTACTTTTGATTCATTTTTATTTCTATTTATTAAATATTGATCCAAATGCACATCCATTTAAATCTTCAGTACATTCTAAAAATTAGTGAAAATTTAGGACTCATGTTGTAAACTACAATAACTTTGTATACAGGTAAAAGGCATGATGAGATTGATCAGACCTTTTGCCAGCCAATATGTAATCTACTGATGACAACAAGTATGAAAAGAACACACAATGATGTATGTGAATATATAAGATTACCAGTTTTGACATTGAAAAGTACTTCCAATTATGCGATTTTATATAAAGTATCATTATGGAGAAGTCGCTACACATTCCCTGCATTCATAATGTGGAAAATGTGATGTTTGTGTTCATCCTGACAAATGTCTAGGGTACAGATGCAGCAGAAGCCGTGGTGTTAGCTGCATGTGAGCCTGGCCAGTGTAGGCTGTAGGCCTCAAAAGCTATGTTTTTTCACAGGTTCAGCACTAGGATGACTCGCTAGCTTCACCCCTCCTACATTTAGAACCATTTTATTTTCATTGAAAAATGCAGTGATTCGCCAACTCCGCTTGGAAAATGTGTTGGTAAAGGTTATTTGATGGGGTGAATATGCAGGCAAATATGACTTTCAAACTTTTTTTTATAAATATGGGCAATTGCTTCCCCAAGAAATGTATGGCAAATATCTGATATATATATTATGCCATATGGGACTGACATATAAAGCATCAGCAAGGCCTTACCACAGCCATACCATTGTTTAAGAAATAATAAAAAACAGTCTAATTATAAAGCACAGCACCATGCTTTGCAGAGTCCCAAAACAAGCAAGTGCCATTTATTTCAGCTAACTGTTAAAAAAAAAAAAGCTGGAAAAAGGACAACCCAGTTGTATGTCCAGTCGGAGTCATTCTACTGCCCTCTCTTTCAATTACCAAGCTTTTTGCAGCATATGTACCGGTAATACAGAGAGAACTTTGTGGGATACTGCAGTCTTCACACCATGCCCTGAATTTTATGAATTCCTTGTAAAATGCAGAGCACAATGTAGAGTAAACGTTGGGGTTGATTTACTAAAAATGGAGTATGCATAATTTTGTGCAGCTCTGTATAGAAACCAATCAGCTTCCATTTTTTAAATCAAAGATTAATTGAACAAGCTGAAGTTAGAAGCTGATTTTGCACTCTTCAGTTTTCGTAAATCAACCCCATTATCAATATCTGCTACTTATTATAAATATCACCATAGACTGTATTTTGATAAACATTTTTGTTACAGTTAATTGTCAAGAATCTTCAGTTTGAAGATGGGAAAATGATCCCTGCATCTAATTACTTTTCAAGAGGGGATGTTACCACCTTGGAGCTAACCGAAGAGGAAAAAATTATGGAGTCTAATATCAGGGTGAGACTTACCATAAGCACAACACACATTTCCCTAACCACGAGTTCCCTACAAGAAGAATTCTGCAGTGAATATGCTTTCCACTGTCTGATTTGAAAAGAAAACAGTGCAGATGCCAGACTGATCTATAAAAATGTCAAGTAATGTTTTTGAAAATGTAGCCATCATTGACAGGCATTATTTTATTTTATATACCTAGGACATTTGGAAGGGAATTCTAACTAATGTTGCTATAATAGAAGACACAACAGATTTTTTTAAATCTGGAGCTGCATCCATGGATGTTGTCAGGTCAGTAGTATTTAAAAATATCATATGAATTAAAGCATATTTTTCCTTACCATTAACATAGCCCTGTTGTAATATTTATAACCTGCAGCAGTGTTTTCCAAATTGTGGGATTTGTGCCAATCTTGGCAAAGTCCATACTCTTGGTAGTATAAAAGGGCTTTGAATCTAAAATGTGGACTGGCCCACAGTTCTAACAGCTATCTTTACAGTGAGTATTAAACTAATTTAAACCACAGAACTGAATTACACACTGGTGTTAGCGCCTGAAGCTGGAGTTTTGAATAGGTTCTGGATCTCTCAGAAGCAAATAATTATAGTCCCACTAGCCCAGGAAATATGCAAGGGAGACTATGCGGATATTTAAAGTATAACTAAAGAGCTAAAGGCAAAACGTTTTTTTTAATTTTGGAGATGGGTTAAAACCCCTGTCAGTTTTTAATGTTGTTTGTGTCCCTGTTAAGGAGATTCACCCTCTCTATTTGTTCTGTTTACCATTATCATTAAAAGTGAAAGTAAAGAGAAATCCCAAATTTTGGGTTGTTCCCAGAAATGTAATAGAGGGGAAGTTTTCCAATGAGGGCACTAGTTCTGGTGACCTGTGGGTCCCCAAGAAATTTGGAGGGATTTCCTCTCGCTTCCTGTTTGGCTATGGGAAGGGAAATCTCAGAAATGGGACACAGATGACAAAAAATAATCTGATGAGGGTTATAACCCTCCCTTACTCCTGGTTCACATATGCGCGTTCCTGGGGGCCGTGTTTTGCGTGGGCACAAGAGCCCATTCATTTGAAGTGACTCTTGGGACACGCAGGGAAGAGTCCCTGCACTTTTTCTGAAAACGCAGCCCGCACGGGAACCTCGGTTCCCAGTGCGGTTGCGATTTCCAGTGCGGGCGGCGTGCCATTATAATTAACGGCACCCATTCGCGGGTCCGCATTCTTCTGTGTGGGTGGTGCGGCTGCACGGATTTTTGTGCGGATCCGCAGCAGCACCAACTGCACATATGTGAACCTAGGCTTACTCTATCCAAAATTAAAAAAAAAAACCTCTTGCCTTTTGTTCTCATTAAAGTATCAGCAAGTATAGCTAAATTACATGGCTAACACAGTATATGTAGCTGGTACATGGAATTGGCTAAAATGGTGCTTTAAATTGTGAACAGCGGGAACACAAGTAGTACCTACATATGCAAAGTGGTCCACAGCTTACTTCAGTGTGTACAATGGATAAAAGCAAATACTGAAGATCCTGCAGAATCTGATACTTCTGGTAAAAGTTTGATTTCTTGCTTCCCGCTGCACCCAAAACTTTGATCCGCCTGCCTCTACATCATTACTCTGCTCTGCAGTGACGTGGGGGGTCACCCCTGATAGTGTCAGATTCTGAAGAATTGTCAATATTGCAGAGCCTGGCAGTGCTGGCAAAAAGAGAGGTGAGCATTCTAGGGGGTTGATTTAGTAAAGGCAAATAGACTGTTTATTTTGCAAGCAAAGTTGCCCGAGAGTTTAGTGAATGTGATAAAGATGACTTCTATCGTCCAATTATGTGCAAGCAAAAATATTTCTTTATTTATTACAGGTACTTAGTGCCATCAGGTTTACACAGCACTTTACATATATGTATAAATATATATATTGTACATTCACAATACAGTCCCTAACCCTTGAGGAACATACAATCTGGGGTCCCTAACGCACATTCATACATGCACTTACTAGGGCCAATTTATACAAAAGCCAATGATCCTACCAGCATGTCTTTGGAGTGTAGGAGGAAATCGAAGTACCAGGAGGAAACCCTTGCAGGCACAGGAAGAACATGCAAACTCCAGGCAGGTGGTGCCGTGGTTGGGATTCAAACCAATGACCCGAGTGCTGCCAGGTGGAAGTGCTAACCAGTTAGCCACTGTGCTGCCCCCAGTGGCTAAAAAATGCTGTTTTTATGCTTTCCTGGCACATGGTTGGGCATTCTTTGCAAAGTGAAACTTCACCTCATTCACTAAACTCTGCAAAGTTCAGCTTTCCCTGCAAAGTAAGCAGCCTATTTGCCTTTAGTAAATCAATCTCAATGTCTTCTTTGCAGGGGGCAGTTACTTTGATGATTTTTTTTTAAGCAACACAGTCACTTTAAATAGAGACTGTGGCCCAAGTGCCCTTGCCTGAGGAACAGATAGCATTTAATGAAGGGCAGCTGAAGGTAACTTTTATATGTCATTATATATTTTCCACTCTGAATCATATACTTTCACAGGTTGGTTGAGGAGATCAAACAGAAATATGGTGGGTTAGAACTACAGAATGAAGATGTCTATATGGCCACTACATTTCAAGACTTCATACAAATGGTTGTGAGGAAATTCAGAGGAGAAGATAAAGAAGAGCTAGTTATAGATTATGTGAGTGCTGAATATCCATTTGTAGAAAAAAATAAAACATAAAAACATGTATGAGCTTATAGTGCCATCTGTCTACAAGCAAATTGGTTTCAATATAGCCAGTCTTTGGTTCTGTCAGTGTGAGTGTACAACCAGATTCTTTTCAAAGACCACTAGCATAAGGGGACCACCTCTCACCAATGTGGTGTGGCTTACATACCACAATTACATACCACAATTTAAATATAACATCATATCCTGAATGTTATTGCAAGTGTTGCTCTATGGTAAAAAGGTTGAGAAAGGCTTCCATACACTATACCAGGGGTGGGCAAACTTTTTGACTTGAGGGCCGCAATTGGTTCATATATTGGACCCGGGGGCCGGACCAAGAGTAGATGAATGATGTGTATGTGTCATCCATAGTAAGTATAGTAATATTCCCCCATAGTAAGCATAGTAATTAATCCCCCATATAGTAATTCATCCCCCATAGTAATTCATCCCCCATAGTAATTCATCCCCCATATAGTAATTCATCCCCCATATAGTAATTCGTCCGACATATAGTAATTCATCCCCCATAGTAATTCATCCCCCATATAGCAATTCATCCCCCCATATAGTAATTCATCCCCCATAGTAATTCATCCCCCATATAGTAATTCATCCCCCATAGTAATTCATCCCCCATAGTAATTCATCCCCCACATAGTAATTAATCCCCCATATAGTAATTAATCCCCCATAGTAATTCATCCCCCATATAGTAATTCATCCCTCATATAGTAATTCATCCCCCATAGTAATTAATCCCCCATAGTAATTAATCCCCCATATAGTAATTCATCCCCCATAGTAATTCATTCCCTATATTAATTCATCCCCCATATTAAGTCCCCAAGTCCCCCCTGTGTCAATTCACTTACCTTTGCTCCACACGTTCCTCTTGTTCCCGCGCCGTTCGGTGTAGCATGAAAATCTGTCTCCTATGAGGATCTGTCCCCCTCGACGTATCTGCGCATGTGCCAGTTTCAGGCATTAGCAGCCGATCGGCGATCTCCGGCACATGCGCAGATACGTCGAGGGGGGACAGATCCTCATAGGAAACAGATTTTCATGCTACACCGATCTTCAGGGCGGACTGTAAGAGGAGCCTAGCGGGAGCCTAGCTCCACGGGCCGGATTAAAAGGTCCGCCGGGCCGTATACGGCCCGCGGGCCGTAGTTTGCCCATTGCTGCACTATACAGTCTGTACAATCTTCTTTAGATTCTACCACATATTGTAAGGACCTGTGCAGTTGAATCCAAAATGAATGGATTGTTTAGATTTGTCCTATCTAAAGGTTTTGGAAAATTAAAAAAATGGATGAGTGTACAACCAGATTGTAACATGTCTTGTCATCCTAAGTATATAGGCTTTAGCAATATACTGTATGTGCATAGGCTTAGAATACAAACCCAGAAATTCTGCTTACAATTGCATATTGTTTTTTGGCCCATTATACATTTTTACAAAGCTTTCTTGAATAATTTACATAGCGTTTTTAACAACAGGCTACATTAAATGTGAACAACATGACTGTGAAGATGCCATACCAGTGTTTTATAAATGGACAGTTTGTGGATGCGGACAGTGGGAAAATGTATGATACTATTAATCCAACCGATGGTTCGGTGAGTATGACTGTTTTCTAAGATGAGAAAGATGAACACCCTTTCAAGTAAAAGTGTATAAAAAAGACACTTTTTGATATTACACTTTTCATAAAGTAAGGCAAAACACTCAGACCCTCAGTGTTTCAAGCATAACAGACATGACATTTTCTTGCATTTATTAACCCCTATGATGCTATTGTGTTTCTGGAGACAGGGAAAGACAACTGACATGTGGCTTGTTGCTGTTGGCAGCATCCTTTAGTGCTACAGGATAAGCAAACCAAGCTACTGTAAGTAGGTTTGTTAGGTAAATAGTGCACTGAACTGCACAGCTATGGAAGAGGGACAGAGGTTTCAAATAACACACCACCCTTCCAAAAGAGGGAAGTCTATATTATTTTATTTTTATATAATTTTGTGTAAATCCTGTGCTACTAAAAAAAATTATGGTACAATCCACTGAGGATCAGCTATACATTCTAAAACAATGGAAACACTTTGGCATTTCCAATGGCAAAAAGCCAATTATTTTCTTCAACATACTAACCTGCACTTGAAAATTAATATTGATAAATGCTGTAGACCAGGACAGCACCATTATTATACTATCTTTTGTTTAAAGTGGAAGTATAGTCAAATGCTAAGCCTCATATACAGGATGAGAGTATTGGACGAATGATCACCGTTTTCATTGAATGCTAGTCTCACATCGAAAAGGAAAAGGTTGCTAAAGTTACGAAAATTCTTGTAAGACAGAATACAACATCCTGCAATGATGTAATGTATTGTATTGTAATGTATTCATTCATTTCCGAGCTTGCTCGGTCTTGGTCACTGAATTTGTTACATAAGAATACTGTACTGCTTAAACGAATATCATCTGTTCTGTTAACCACGTCCTGTCCGGCCGTTGTATATAAACGGCCGGACGGTGGCAGTGCAGGGGCGGGTGGCCATTTATAAACGGCCTCTCCACCCCCTGCTAGTGTGCGCTCCCTGGGAGTATGCAGCACCTTGATCCGGTGCCTGCTGTGTCCTCCGGAAACAGTGGAACAACGATTGTTGTATGGGACCTCTATGCGAGGTCCCAATCATGTGATCGCTGATTGGCCAATCAGCGATCACATGCAGAGTAGTAAGCAAGATGTTACTTCTGACATCATTGCTTACTACGTGTGAAATCTGTGAATGATCACAGAGGTCACATGGTACAAGGCTATTCACAACAGCCTTGTACTATGTGACAAGCTGTAACTGAATACATTTTGGCCAAGATTTATGATGAAATATTATTTATTTGCAAAATTCTCTAAGAAAAACACTTTTTTTCTAAAATTTTGGACTTTCATTTATATAGCAAAAAAAAATAAAAATCCCAGCGGTGAATACCATTAAAATAAAGATTTATCTGTCTCAAAAAAATGCTAAAAAAGTCATATGGGTACAGTATTGCATGACCACACAATTGTCATTCAAAGTGTGATAGCACTGAAAGCTGAAAATTGACCTGGACAGGAAGGGGGTGAAAGTGTCTGGACTTGAAGTGGTTAATTTGAATTGTCATAAACAGCTTTTTCCTTTTGGGATAAAGGTTTTACAGTACATGTTTGAATACAAGTTGATTATTGTAAGCACCCCTGTCAGTATTACCCTCTAACTAACACTTTTGCTGGACAGCTTGGTCTGTTAAAGGAAGCTGAAAAGTAGCAGACTTAATGGCAAGATGAGCAGGCAAAAATTAAGCAAAAAAGCCTAAAAATAAAATTAGTGCAACCACCGTATTTAAGGATTGGTAAGCTGTAATATAATACAGTTTGTTTTTAAATGTAATTTTTGATCTGGGGTTTAATACTCCTTTAAGTATTGGCTTTCATTGTAATACATAATGCCTGAAATATTTAACAAGCATATTTTCCACTCTGAGTAATTATAAAATCAAAGTAATCTTAAAGCTGAAGCCTACCTATGATCTTTATTGCATGCTTACATTGGTCCAGTATGGTACAATATAAGTAGGCATATGTCATACCTGAAAGGCCACTGAGGAAAGTGACAATTACTGTAGTTGTTGCTACTACTACAGTGATTGCCGTTTTTGTGCTGAATGGCTTCCCTTATGCATATGTGACTACAAGGGCTGCTCAATTGGCACCTCCACCATTCACAAAATGCCAAATGTCCTGTTCTGGTGACAGAAAAATTTGGGATTTTCTTTTACTTTCACTCTCAGTGAAATATAATTACTTGCATAATTTTAAATGCAGTTTCTACACATAAATGGGGAAAATGGTTTTGAGCAGGATGGGGAGAGGTGATGTCCCTCTGGAGTCCCAAAACGTTTGAAGAATTGCTGAGTAGCTTATTAGTTTATGACTTGAAAAAACATTATGTGGAATTATGTTTGCCTGCAGGTGCTGTGCAAAGTCTCATATTGCTCTGTAGCTGATGTAGATAAAGCTGTGGCTGCAGCAAAAGATGCCTTTGAAAATGGAGAATGGGGAAAAATGAATGCAAGAGACAGAGGGAGAATATTATACAGGTACGTAATGCATGTAACATGCTGCTAAGGGCCCAGTTTATAAAGCCAAGACACCAAGAAACAACATATAATAAAAAAAAATACCGCAAAATGAGAGATTTACAGTCACTTGTGTCAAGCTTTATGGGCTGAGTATATAGTTTGAAAAGGTTTACCGTATTTTCCGGCGTATAAGACGACTTTTTGACCCCTGAAAATCTTCTCAAAAGTTGGGGGTCGTCTTATACGCCGGTACACGTCAGGGGGCACTTTTTAGGGGGGGCGGCGCGGTGCTGCCGCCGTCCCCCCCTTCCGACTGAAGGGACACCAAGTACAGGGGAGGGCAGAGGGCTGCAATCTCTTACCTGGCTCCCATGACGATCCATCCAGGAAGCACTGCTCCTTCAGTCACTCCGGCCACTCCCTCACTCCTGCCGCTCGGCTCCTCCTCCTCACCGGTGATTGGCCGCCAGAGCTGTAGCTCAGGAAAGGCACACAGGCGGCCAATCACGGGCGAGGAGGCGAAAATCGAGTAAGGGGAAGTGTGCAGTGCAGAGGTGCTGCTGCAACCACATATGCTGGCTGCAGCAGTACCATACAAGAACAGGAGTCAGCAAGTGTCATTGGTGTCAGTGGAAAGAATAGTGCCCTGTCATTGATGTCACTGATACTAATGATGGGGCATTATTCCTCCCACTGACACCAATGATGGGGCACTATTCCTTCCACTGACACCAACGATGGGGCACTATTCCTCCCACTGACACCAAATGATGGGGCACTATTCCTCCCCCCACTGACACCAATGATGGGGCACTATTCCTCTCCCCCACTGACACCAACGATGGGGAGTACTATTCCTCCCACTGACACCAATGATGGGGCACTATTCCTCCCCCACTGACACCAATGTTGGGACGCTATTCCTCTCCCCACTGACACCAATGTTGGGGCGCTATTCCTCCCACTGACACCAATGATGGGGGCGCTATTCCTCCCACTGACACCAATGATGGGGCGCTATTCCTCCCGCTGACACCAATGATGGGGCGCTATTCCTCCCGCTGACACCAATGATGGGGCGCTATTCCTCCCGCTGACACCAATGATGGGGCGCTATTCCTCCCACTGACACCAATGATGGGGCGCTATTCCTCCCCACTGACACTAATGATGGGGCGCTATTCCTCCCACTGACACCAATGATGGGGCGCTATTCCTCCCACTGACACCAATGATGGGGCGCTATTCCTCCCACTGACACCAATGATGGGGCGCTATTCCTCCCACTGACACCAATGATGGGGCGCTATTCCTCCCACTGACACCAATGATGGGCGCTATTCCTCCCACTGACACCAATGATGGGGCACTATTCCTTCCCACTGATACCAATGATGGGGCGCTATTCCTCCCACTGACACCAATGATGGGGCGCTATTTTCCTGCCACTGACACCAATGATGGGGCGCTATTCCTCCCACTGACACCAATGATGGGGCGCTATTCCTCCCACTGACACCAATGATGGGGCGCTATTCTTCCCACTGACACAATGATGGGGTGCTATTCCTCCCACTGACACCAATGATGGGGCACTATTCCTTGCTCTGACACCAATGATGGGGCGCTATTCCTCCCACTGACACCAATGATGGGGCGCTATTCCTCCCACGGACACCAATGATGGGGTGCTATTCCTGCCACTGACACCAATGATAGGGCACAATTTATTGCTCTGACACCAATGATGGGGCACTATTCCTCCCACTGACACTAATGATGGGACACTATTCCTCACACACTGACACTAATGATGGGTCACCATCAATGGTGTCAATGGGAGGAATAGTGTCCCATCAATAGTGTCAGTGGGAGGAATAGTGCCCTATCATTGGTGCTCGTGGGAGGAATAGTGCCCCATCATTGGTGTTAGTGGGAGGAATAGTGCCCCATCATTGGTGTCAGTGGGAGGAATAGTGCCCAATCATTGGTGTTAGTGGGAGGAATAGTGCCCCATCATTGGTGTCATTGGGAGGAAGCATACCCCATCATTGGAATACCATACCATATTGAAATCAAATCTGATGTTTTTTAATTTTTGGTGTGCGTTGGAAGAGGATTAGTCTTATACGGCGAGTATAGCCCAAACCCTATATTTTAACAGGAAAGGTAGGGGGTCGTCTTATACGCCCAGTCGTCTTATACACCGGCAAATACGGTAGGTTAATTTTGTATATGCTTTCATAAATCAGCTAAAAATGATTTATCTCAGCCCACAGAGAAGAGAAGATAAAAAAAGTGTTTTAGTATTGTTACTTGTATGCGTGATGTTTGTGCTCCCAGAGTATGCATGGATATCCACCAGATATTCTGGTTAAAACACGCGTTTACTGTATGTTTTAGAAATCCCATGAGAAATGTGTAGGTAATAGTGTGGATGAAGGAATTTCCCCTGCCAGCTATTATATTCAGATGGCCACATCACCTGCAGCTGTCTGATTACCCGAACCATGACTGCATCTGATTGGATGCAGTCACTGTTCAGCTGCAAATGTTCCATCCAGCATCTTTGATTTTTCAGACCTGGTGGTGTTGGCAGGAATCTGATGAAATTCAAGCGGTGTATAGCGAACACTGATAGAATATCAGTTTTGTAGTGTTTGTTCTAGCAAGTAGGACTCCTCCTAGACAATTTGTTGCTTTGTCTGTGCCAGTCTTTCTCAACCTCAACACAGAGAATCCCTTGAAATAACTTTCCATCCTTAGGGAACACCTGCCAAAAATTACTATATCTACAACTAATAATACATTAGTGTGATGAGTGTGATGAACAGTAGGAATAATGCTCCTCACCCTTGTGTTCATTGGGAAGAATTACCCTCCTACAGATAGCTAAAAAGTCAGTGGGAACTTATCTGAGAGGCAGAAACTGCTCATTGCTCAAGGAACCCCTAGCAACCTCTTGAGGTTGCATGGAACCCTGGTTGAGAAGCCCCAGTCTATGCTAATGTGTGCATAATTAATCTGTGTTTTCTAAAATTGTAAAGTTCTATGGAATATGTTACCACTATATAAACAATTAATAACTACAATTCATCATGCACACTGAACGTTTTTACAGCGGCTCTTTTTGGCTTTTAACGTTTTTTTCTACAGCCAGTAAACCCCCCAGCATGTTATCCTATGTGTCCAAATAGGCTGTAATCAGTTTTTTGGCAGGGGCGTTTTCTGGCTGGAAAAAACCCCAGAACTAGTGGGTTTCAAGAAGTGTTCTTTAGTTGTAAAAACGCTCTAACAGTGGTAATCAATGTTTTTTGGCAGGGGTGTCTTTTGCCTCAAAAAAAAAAAAAAAAAAAGAATATTGGATTTCTAGAGGAGTTTTTTTAGCTGTACAAACGGTCTAATGCAGCAAAACGTGGTAAAATGCTGTAAATCGTTGCAAACTGGTGTTTTTTTTTTCTTTATAAATATTTATTGGTTTTCAATCAAATATAATTAACAAACATTTTCTTCATGAAAAGATCATTATATTTCTCATAATCTATTTAATTCCCACAACCCTAATTCCCTCCTGAACCCCCCCCCCCTCCCACGCCCATCCTCGTATCCCCCCTCCCCCCTCCAGCTCACTCTGCCTTTTCTTTTCTAATCTGAGAGAGAAAGAAAAAAAAAAATATATATAACACTATCCTTTTCTTTCTAAAACTCATTTCTAAAATACCTTATTCGTTTCAATAGGTATAAATCAAGTATATTTCACTTTCTGTCTAAATTCTTCCCATTTTCCCCACTTTTTATAGTACTTCTCCATCCCGTCTATGTGTGTGTAATAAAGTCTTTCCATCTCACATAACTGATTCATTCTGATAAACCAATCTTCTTCCGTCAGCACCTCACTTTTTTTCCAAAACCTAGGGATCAAGCTTTTGGCTGCACTCAGAAAATACCAAATCCCTGAATCCTTATATGATCTCACTGTAAGCTCAGAGATATGAAGAAGACATAACTCTGGATCCAATCTAATATCGATCTTAGTAATTTTCCTCATTAAATGTACGATTTTCCCCCAGAACACCTGTATCTTTGAGCATTCCCACCATATGTGATATAGTGTACCCACTTCTCCACAACCTCTCCAACATAGTGAAGAGTTCTCCCTGTTCATATTGTGCTCCACACTCGGTGTAATGTGCCATCTAACTAAACACTTATAATTTAATTCTACTTCTCTCATACTAATATTTTCGTGAGTTAATCTAAACATTTTCCTCTGCTGTTCCTCATCTATCTCCCTGCCCATATCTTTTCCCCATTTCTCTACATAAGTTAATTTTGCAAACCGGCGTTTTTGGATGTGTTTTTGACCGAAAAAAAATTTTTGTTTTTGGTAAAAAAAAGCTAAAAAACACTAAAAATGCAAATACGAAAAAACGTCGCTAAACACTAATGCAAAAAGGCTACAAAACTCTGAAAAACTCAAGTTTTTAATGTGACATTACACAGCTAACATTACCAGCTTTATTAAAATGCCCTGTGTGTATGGAGCCTAATAATGTATTCCTTCACATTTTCATTAAGCCTTTCATTACACATGAACACATTTGCAGTAAACCTGCACACTGTACAAGGTCACTCACCCTTCTTGTATAGTGTCATGTAGAATACCACAGATAATGGCAATTCTTTTGTTAATATTACTATTTTCTGCCATGTGATCCTTTACAGGCACTACATTTTAACTAAAGACAAAGCTTTTTTTTAATTTTGGATAGAGTGGAGAGGGATTAGAACACTTGTCAGTTTTTATTGCTGTCTCTACCCCCATTAGCAAGATTCAACCACAGTATTTGTCCTGTTTACCATTATCATTGAAAGTGAAAGTACATTAAAATCTTAAATTTTGGGATGTTCCAAGAAAAGTAATAGAGGGGAAATCTAGATCTGGTGAACTGGGGTCCTCAAGGAATTCCCATAATTTTCAATTAAATTAAATCCCGTAAATCTAATTTGGCTATGGGATTCCAAGCGAAGGGAAATTCCCACAATGGGACACAGACAGTGAAAAAAATCTGACACAGGTTATAACCCTCCCTTGCTCTATCCAAAATGAAAAAAAATGTTTTGCCTATTGTTCTACTTTAAAATGAGTGAGGTGTGTTGCTTTAAAATCCATAATTCTGCTCCTATTAAGGAACTGGATTGAGAAATAGTTCATTAGACTGCAGAAGCAGCTGATAACAATAACAAAAGTGTCCATGGTGTGCAAGGCATCTTTATCCTGATGCAAATTTACTGTAAATTACAATATGGTAGTTCTGGCACCTTTTTATTGTTTGCAAAGAGCAAGGTATAAGTTGGAACTTCCATTTAAGACTTGCAGATCTTATGGAAGAACATCAAGAAGAGCTGGCAACTATCGAAGCATTAGACTCAGGAGCTGTCTACACATTGGCACTGAAAACTCACGTGGGGATGTCTGTGCAGACTTTCAGGTACTTCGCTGGATGGTGCGACAAAATTCAGGCAAGAACATTCTTACCTGGTAATTTATACTCTGTTTAGTTACAGTATTAGTGCTGCTTTAATAGCTTTACTAACCTGTGGGTTGTCTACCTTGTGCACGTGAGGTGTAATCATTTGTTGGTAAAAGATTGACATTAAAAGGTTAGGTACATTTTTTAATAAAAGAATAAGAAACTCTATAGTGCAAAGGGAGAAAGAGTGATTAGGTCCCAAGCAAGAAGCCGTAGTCTCTGTATGGTAGATCAAGCTGTGTTGATCCACCTCTATAATGGCTGCAGCTCTTCTAACAGGGTATTGGATGCCCATGTGCACCAAAACAATAAACAAACAGAAGGCACCAACATCTAAAGCAGGCCATAAATGGGGAGAAAACCGGGCGTTTTTTTTTTTTTTTTTTAAAATGGAAAATCGGTCGTTCAATCAGCCGACATTACCACTATTGGTAAAAAAAAGGTCGGCTGATTTTCATCCCGTCTACAGCCGGCAATTATGTAGAATATATGCAGAAGAAGAAGAAATAGAATATGCAGAAGAAGAAGAAATAGAATACGAATAAAAAGAAGAAATAGAATATGCAGAAGAGGAAGAAATAGAATACGAATAAAAAGAAGAAACAGAATATGAAGAAAAAGAAATAGAATACGAAGAAGAAGTAGAAATAGAATACGAATAAAAAGAAAAAATAGAATATGAAGAAAAAGAAATAGAATATGAAGAAGAAGAAGAAATAGAATACGAATAAAATGAAGAAATAGAATATGCAGAAGAAGAAGAAATAGAATATGCAGAAGCAGAAGAAAAGAATACGAATAAAAAGAAGAAATAGAATATGCAGAAGAAGAAGAAATAGAATACGAATAAAAAGAAGAAATAGAATATGAAGAAGAAGAAATAGAATACGAATAAAAAGAAGAAATAGAATATGCAGAAGAAGAAGAAGAAATAGAATATGAAGAAGAAGAAATAGAATACGAATAAAAAGAAACAATTGAGTACTGTCCGTGATACTTTTTTTATTTGCACTAACATACAATTTTGAGGACAAGCTTTCGGGGAGTGTCCCCTTCTTTAAGGTCCAAGCAGTACTATACCTTGAAGAAGGGGACACTCCTCGAAAGCTTGTCCTCAAAATTGTATGTTAGTGCAAATAAAAAAAGTATCACGGACAGTACTCAATTGTTTCTGTCGCAAATGCACTAATACGGCTACAATCACCTTGAATAAAAAGAAGAAATAGAATATGCAAAAGAAGAAGAAAAAGTTGCAACATTGAATCTATTTGTATCCATTTCGGATACAGATGTTTCTATTCGGATAAAAATAGATACAATGTTGCTATACTTTTAAATGTCAAATATAATATCGGACTGAATTTCTTTTTTTCCTTCTTCTACTTCTTCATATTCTATTTCTTCTTTTTCTGCTTCTTCATATTCTATTTCTTCTTTTTCTCCTTCTTCTTCATATTCTATTTCTTCTTTTTTCTGCTTCTTCATATTCTATTTCTGCATCTCATTCATATTCTATTTTTTTCCTTTTCTTCTTTTCCTTCTTCTTTCATGTCACTGCTCATGCGCATTTTTAAATATCGGAAAAAGATCAGCAAATTTGTCCATCATTGCTGCGAAAATCGGCAGAACGACAAATTTGGCCGATTATTTTCCATCAGGACCGATAATCTAAAAGGGCAAAAATCACGACAAACGGCCGACCGATTACCGCACTAACGATCCGAAAATCGGACGATTTTTTTATTGTTCAGTCGTTTTCATCTCATCAATGGCCAGCCTAAGTGTAACAATGTCATTAAAAAACAAGTAAAGGGAAGGGTTAAAATGCACTCACAAGGATGAGAGTAAATGAGCAGATCATCAGTCCTTATTCGCTGGCAAGCCTTGGTGGGCAGCGGGTGGATGGATGAGATGTATCCTTAAAACAGCTCTGCAGGATAGGTGGAATAAAGTTGGACTCTGTCAGAATGCAGATCAAGTCCATATATCAGGCTGTGTCTTCCTCCAGCAGCAAATATAGCCACACTGGAACACAAGCCAGCGCTAGGACCAGAATCAGAAGTGACGTCTGGACGTATTGACGTCAAAGCGTGATGGGTGGTAACATGTTTCGGAACCCAAAATCGCTCCTTTGCCCACACGGCAGTGAAAGGGTTGATTGACTGAGAAGTAAAAAAGAGAAAAATAAATTTTTTTTTCTTTTGCAGAGAGTGAAGGCATATTATATGAAAAATACAAAACAACACTTTGTATTAACTTGTCTTAAAAGGAAGTTGTAGAGATAGAAATATAAGTGGTTGCTTGTTGATTTATTTTTTATGGTTCTTGCTCCAGGGCTGTTGTTACCCTGGAACAAGCATGTCCATATAGTGTGCCTGACAGACAATGATGGGAAAAGGTTTTTTAGCCCCCAGTGGAAAGTGCGATAGCCTTTCTCTTTCTATAAAGCTTGTAAATCCATGTACAGTTGTCAGGCCAGTGTATACAATGACAGCTGCTCTATATCGGTCCTCTGTTGGTTCACTGAAAACTGAAAAGTATGGAAGGGAGGGGGTATTGCAGCATGCTTAAAATTGCATGATTTATTAAAAATTAACACATTGAAACACAGCCAGGTTTTTTCTTTAATTATTGTAATTGAGATTTGTTCTTCCATCTGGTAACTAAACTTATAGCTATGATATACTGTATCTACCATTTAATCCTTTTATAAAGGCACTAAGAATATGTTTCTGGTACAATTGTTAATGCAGTGCTACAAAATCAAACAAATACTAATTGTAAATGTTTAAAAAATCAAAAAAAAAACACAGCTAAGGGAAGAAAAAGATTAGTTGGTTCTTAAAATGAATTATGGTTAACTTAAGAGCTAATAGGAGGTTTCACCTTTATTTAAAAAAACATATTATAGTATTTTGTGAATGAATAACACAACTGCAGCCATGATTTATAAATAAACCGAGCTGTCAGTGCAGATGATGCATTTTGGGGGTGGCTGTCACACTGACAGTGGGGCTTCACTGATTACACTGGGAGTTCCACACTACCAGTGTAATCTGTAAACCAGTGCTGTCATTTTGACTATCTGGTCTTGCAGAGTGCCAGAGTAGAGCCAAGGTGAGGCAGGTGCAGATGAGGCCCCTGACCCATTTGCACCCCTCCCCCAAACCACAGTGCCCTGGAGTGAGACTCTCCTGCCTCAGCCTGGCCCTTGCTAATACTTATATGTAGTTACTTGGTATAATTTAGTAAAAAAAAAAACTTAAGGAAGGGTAAGGATGCCAGCCCTGGAAAATACACCCTTGAATACAAATCAGCAGCAAACTGTATACCTGCTTTTTGTTTTCAGGACACTGCCTTATTTCAGCCATTGAAATTTTTGTAATTTAGGGCTTCTTGCCACTACAGCAGAATGTATTTCTGTTGCATATTAAAATAATTTTAACATTTGTTTTTCTAATAGGGATCTACAATTCCAATAAACCAAGCACGTCCAAATCGCAATTTAACATTCACTAAAAAGGAGCCACTAGGGTGAGTATATAAACCTGCACTAATGATATGTACACATCTCTAAAGGAAACCTGTGAGAGAGGTAAAATTGGAAACTGCCAAAGCTAACCTTTGTTCTAGGAACAGGTTCCAGGGCTGTCATTCTTGCTGTGCTGAGTCACTGACCTGGAAAAAGCAAACAGCCAGTGAAGTGTTGGGATGCCAAATACAGTAAGTCCCCGACTTACGAACCAGTTCCGTTGCGGGAGAACGTTCGTAAATCGGATTCATTTATAAGTTCGACAAAGTGAGTCTTGTACATCTTTGACACAAATATACAATGTAAAGCATAAAAAAAAACAAATGCACACAAAAATACTGTAAATAAACTATTTCTACTTTTACAGTTACCTTAAAATGGTGGTACAGTACAGTACCACAACTGGCATATAGTGGAAGAGAGTTACTAACTGGAGGAGAGAAGGTAGGTGTGAGATGGGGGAGCTGAAAGATCATCAGCAATAGGAGATGGAGGGCAAGATGGAATTTGGCCCACACCTGATGTTGATGGAGCTGAAAGATCATCAACAATAGGAGATGGAGGGCAAGATTAAATTTCACTCACACCTGATGTTGATGACACATATTTTTTGATGGATTCAATTCTGTCTACCCTCTGGAAAAAATTATCCAGTGATGTCTGAGTAGTAGCTCTTTTTTACTCATCATAGATGACTCTGTAGCACTGGATGGGATTTTGAACGGCTGCTGCAACTTTTGTGTATCATTCTACGTTGGGGACCTTTGCCTCAAAAACTAACAATGCCTCTTCAAGTAAAGAACATCCCCTTGCCATTTCCTGTGTTGTGAATCTCTTTGGTTCTTCAGTTACATCTTCCTCTTGGCTCTCTTCGTCTTTTTGCTGGGCTTCTAATTCCATGAGGTCCTCATTAGTAAGCTCCTCATGTTGCACAGCAAGGAGTTCATTGAAGTCCTGTTGCAGATCTAGCTCCAGCTTCATGCTAAGGGTCACTAAATTGTTGAAGACCTCTTTGGACTCCTTACCCATCTTCTCATGTCTGTGAACTTAATGAACAAACTGCGGACAAAGGTTCTTCCAAACTCCATTCATGGTGACAGCCGAAACCTCCTTCCAAGGAAAGTTGATGTTTTTTATGGCCTTGTAGATGTTATAGTCCTTCCAAAATTGTTGCAAGGTTGTTCCTGTTTCATCAATAGTCTTCACTGCCTGATGAAAAGTGTGACGAAAATCTGCCAGATGTACTACTTTGCCGTTGGGATGAAAGTCATCCATGAATTGGGGGTGACCTGTTGCATTGTCATGCAGAAAAAAAAATGTTGAATGGGATATCTTTCTCCAAACAATATTTCTGTATCTCTGGGATAAAGTGGTGGAAAGACCAGTCCTGGAAAATGGCCTGTGTAACCCGGGCTTTGGAGTTACTCTTCCCCACAACAGGTAGAGAACCCTTGGCTATGTTTTTGAAGGCTCTTGGGTTCTCTGAATGGTAAACTAAGAGAGGCTTTAGTTTCATATCACCGGAAGCATTGCCACCAAACAGAATAAATCTGTCCTTTGCTGCTTTGAAGCCTGGCATCACCTTTTCCTCTTTACTGATGTAACTTTTTTTTCTGGCATCCTCTTCCAGTACAGTCCTGTCTCATCGATGTTAAAAACCTGTGGGGGTAAATAAGCACCTTCGTCAATAATTTCTCTAAGTGTTGCTGGAAATTCTTGGGCAGCTATGGCATCTGCAATAGCAGCCTCACCACTTAGTTTTACGTTGTGAAGGTTGGCTCTAGCCTTGAATCTGTTAAACAAGCCATGGCTGGCAGTAAAAGATGTACACTGTTCACCCCGTTTTTTTTTCAAGTCTTCAAACAGGCTTTTAGCTTTTTCTTGAATAAGCATTAAGCTGAGTGGGACTCAACGTTAATGCTGGTCCTGCATCCACACACTGAGAAGTTTCTATATCTCGTCTATCACTTTACCACGGTTTTTGGATATTATTGTTGACTTCATAGGCACAGCAGACTTCACATGTTCCATGATCTTGGCCTTGTTCTTTAGAATTGTGCCAATGGTTGAACAATTCATGTTATAAGAACGAATGATGTCTACCATCTTTTTGCCTCGGTCCAATTTCTCAATTATTTTCACTTTTGTTTCCATGGTTATTGCTTTACGCTTCCTAGCAGTCCCCTCCACATCACAACTGCTTCTCCTCTTGCTTCCGGACATCATGGGCTCTGTACAGTACACTATCACACTGTACAGTAAGCACACAGCAGCATAACTGACAATGTCCAGCAGATATGTGTGCTACTTCTGCATTTTTTTCGCATCTACGAATGTTCGTAATGCGAGGTCCATTTGTATCTGTGAAAGTTCGCAACTCAAATGTTCGTAAATCAGAGACTTACTGAATACTTCTTCTGGTTCGATGACTCGTCAGGTAGTGAAGGAATGACAGGGGAGCCAGCCTTGGAATTTGCACCTTCAAATACAAGTCAGTAATAACATTTTCCATATTTTTATTTCCATCGACGGCTTTTAAACATTAGTCTGAGAATCATTTGGCAAGCTTGCTTGAAGTCCTTAAAGAACCATTTAGCTCACAAGCTTCCTTAAAGGATAAGTTCTTCTTTTGCTAAAAAACAATAAATGCACATTTTGTTTGCAGGTAAAAAAATGTGCATTTATTATTTTTTGTTGCAGGAGACTTTAAAGCATTGCACTAGTGATCAACAGATTGCTGGTGCCATGCAGGTCTCCTGCAGACTTGTCAGTACATCTGTTTGCGCATACTGGATGTACAGGTAAGCGGATATACTGACAGGAAGAATCGGTGAACTACCACAGTGCTCCACAGCGCTGTGGTAGTTCATTGAAAACTACAAGCCAACAGCCACTAAGGCTGACACAGATGGGTGGGCGGAGCCCCCCGATCGGCCGTGCTTTTTTAAAAGTTTGACAGCTAGGAGGAGAAGATCTCCTGCTAGCTGCCAAAGGGGGGGGGGAGGGTCGGTCTATTCATAACATGTTACATGTTACACCCTGAATGTTGATGTAACATGTTCTAAAAGGTGAATTTATCCTTTAAAGCTTGTTTGAAACTACTGCCAGCACATCCAATTAATACCTGTATTGAGAAGTCCCAAACTGGAGATGAAGAGGGATTTAGGGCCTGAAGAAATCTGGTAAAAACTTGTTAAAACACTTACTGAATCCAGTGTACAGTGTGCAGTGCCCATGTGTATGAGGCCTTAGAACAGAGTTGAACATGGAGATGTTAAATGGTTCATGTTATAGGTAACCTGCTCATTAAGCCTAGGAAGATGGCGATTCTGTCCCATGTTGATCCAGCAAGAGCATAATTCTTCTGACACTCTTAGTAATATCAACATACTGTATGTTATTTCTGAACATTACCCACTTTAAAACTAATCAACAGTATTTCCACCTTTCTGAAGATGGCTTTCAGCTCAGATTTCGTTCAACATCTAATCTAGATGGATTATGTTCTTTCCTCAGTGTCTGTGCTATTGTTATTCCTTGGAACTATCCATTGATGATGCTCGCATGGAAGAGTGCAGCATGTCTGGCTGCAGGAAATACACTTGTTTTGAAACCTGCACAGGTACATTTTTTCCAATATTCTCCAAATACAAGTGACCATTAGCATTCCAACTGCTTGATGAGCATATTTTTAGGCAGCTACATCACTGGGTTGCAGTGTCCAGCTACTGTGACTGCTGAAATAAACACTGTTGGGTAGATTTACTAAAAAATGGTGCATTCTGAATCTGGTGCAGCTGTGCATGGTAGCCAAACAACTTCTAACTTCAGCTTGTGCAATTAAGCTTTGGCAATAAAACCTCAAAGCTGACTGGTATTCTGTACACAGTTGCACCAGATTTTGCACTCTCCAGTTTTAGCAAATAACCCCGTGTGTTAGTTGTTCACATTGTTGCTTTCTGTAATTATCATACACTATATGGCCAAGTGTTTATAGACATCTGGCCATCACACCTACATGACCTTTAATAGCCTGCATTGTTCTGGGAAGGCTTTCTATAAGATTTTCGGAGGAATGCATTGGAATGAACTTTCAATACACTCACTTTTTAGCGATTTCCTCTAAACTTATGCTATTTTTTTGAGGCTGTGATATCCTATCGGACTTTTTCAGGTTGTGATACCAATGCAGTACCAATGCCTTTGGGGTACAAACACCAATTGTGATAGGAATGAGGGACACATATTAGAAAAAGTATGTAGGCATAGAACACCCCCCTGCCACACACCTTTAATGGAGAATTATACAAAAAAATTATTAGTTAAACCCACAAGTGCTTTTTTTAACCACTTTTTTTCCTGGTTTTTGAAATTTAGAAACTGGATGAATGTTTTAGCACTGTGAAACCCTTTTTGAAAGATAAATAGTGTATTATATACACTATATTGTAAAAAGTATTGGGACACCCCTCCAAATCATTGGATTCAGGTGTTCTAATTACCTCCATGGCCACAGGTGTATAAAATCAAGCACCTAGGAATGCAGACTGCTTCTACAAGCATTTGTGAAAGAATGGGTCGCTCTCGGGAACTCAGTGAATTCAAGCGTGGTACTGTGATAGGTTGCCACCTGTGCAATAAGTCCATCCGTGAAATTTCCTTGCTACTAAATATTTAATGGTCAACTGTTAGTGGTATTGTAACAAAGTGGAAGCAACTGGGAATGACAGAAACTCAGCCACGAAGTGGTAGGCCACGTAAAATGACAAAGCGGGGTCAGCTAGAGTCATTAGCTAAAGACCTCCAAACTTCATGTGGCGTTCAGATTAGCACAACAATAGTGCGTATAGAGCTTAATGGAATGGGTTTCCATGGCCGAGCAACTGCATCCAAGCCTTACATCACCAAGTGCAATGCAAAGCGTCGGATGCAGTGTTGTAAAGCATGTTGCCACTGGACTCTAGAGCAGTAGAGACATGTTCACTGGTGTGACAAATCACGTTTCTCTATCTGGCAATCTGATGGATGTGTCTGGGTTTGGCCAGGGGAATGGTACTTGCCTGACTGCATTGTGCCAAGTGTAATGTTTGGTGGAGGGGGATTATGGTGTAGGGTTGTTTTTTAGGGGTTGGGCTTGGCCCCTTAGTTCCAGTGAAGTGAACTCTTAAGGCGTCAGCATACCAAGACATTTTGGACAATTTCATGCTCCCAACTTTGTGGAAACAGTACAATATGATTTTTTTTGCATTTCAGCATAATCTATTTTTTTGTGGTTATGTCCTTATGACATTTCTATTATCTTTTTTTTTTAGGTTACTCCTCTTACAGCTTTAAAATTTGCTGAGTTGTCTGTAAAAGCAGGTGTACCCAAAGGAGTCATCAATATCCTGCCAGGGTCAGGTAATATTTTAAAACTTACATTCATAACACAAAAAAAATTAAAATTAGATATTAGATACTATGCTATAAAAGGTGCTTTCCTACTCAACAAATCCTACTCCAAAGAACCATGACTATCACAATCAATCTTTACAAACAGAAATTACACTCCTCCTATTTGTTCACATGGTACATGCTGTACGTATTATGATGTATTGCTTCTTCACTGATCACAAGACTTTTTTTAAAGATTCCTATGTTTAACACATTTAGTTGGGAGCCTAAATTAGATCTAAACCCTCAATATATCACATTTAGTCAAATAAAATATTTTGTGTCATAATGATATGCCATAAGTTTTTTTTTTTTTAATACTGTTTTCACATTTTTTTTATCTCATGCTCATGGCAGGATTCCTGAAAGCTGCATATTTAAAAAAAACTGAAAACAGCTCATGAAATTAAATGTATATGTTAAAATTTGTGATACATTTGTTTTTTTGATGATGTGATAATGCAGTTAACAATGAAAAAAGTCACAACATCTGACCAGTACAATACAAAATTGAAAGCATATGTTGTCAGTATAGTTTAAGAACTAGGTGTCAGTGCCTGGTCAAATGATGAACATTAAGAAATGAAAAGATGGATGGCGGTCAGTCTAACAACTAGCAGATGTAGCAGATGATGGAAAGAGGAGAGGCTTTAGCTGTTAAAGCATAAAATAAATTTTAATTTTAATTGGAGGGTAGGATGTCAATTGAAGGGTCACTGGTTAACAGTCTGGTTTGAAAAAAATGGGTATATTGAAAACAGTGTAATATCATTTGTTGGGTATCTGTAGTTTGAAATAGATTTTAGTAATTGGGTCTAAATCTCATTTATATTAATATCTACATTGCCAGTTCTTAGAGATGACTTCACGTTCATCCATAAAGTGCATGTTTGACATTGGTAAATAAGGCCCATAGTGTATAGATGTTAGAAGGCAGAAGGTAGCGGCTAATTCTTAACACCAGTGTCCTGTCATAACTGAAATATCAATTTTCAGTAGACAGAGAAATTATTGTTACTGAGGGGTAGAGTGATATACAGTAGAAACAGCAGCTGATCATGTTCCAATAGAAATAGAGGACCTAGTCATGGAAACGAGATTGAAGATAGGATGTATAGACAAAGCTGACTATGGACTGGAATGGGGGGAGGGGGTCACCTATAAAGTGCAGTTTCCCTTGACATGTAAAGTCCATGTGCTGCCAGTCATCACACATTTCTAACAAGTGTTAGACAAAAGGGTAGAGCTTAGTAGGAAGAGGCAGGGTTTAGCCTATGCAGCCCGGGGGCAGAATGTAGATGATGGGAAGGGGAGATTGCACTGCCATTGAAATAGTGTTTGGAAAGGTGTTGCAGCACATGGGTTTGGAAAATGTTTAGTATTTAAATGATACTGATCATTCAGATCTAGAAGGACAGAAATCTTAAATTCACGGAGTCCCTTTTAATTTAAATATGATTACATTTAAACATTGTGTGCCAAAATGTTTAAACACTCTTTTTCAGGTTCTATTATTTGAAGACTACAGTATTGGTTTACCTACTCCAGCTATTGCGAAAACATATGGGAATAGCACCATGGAATACATAATTAAGCAGCTTAGCTAAGGACACGCATTTGCACACATCTTTATTTAATATTCACAATACTTTTTGGTCAAAAGGCCTCCGTTTGACATATAGATTAACTTATTTTTCTATTTAAAGGTGGTTTGGTAGGACAGCGGTTGTCTGAGCACCCGGATATTCGCAAACTTGGCTTTACTGGGTCCACACCAATTGGCAAACAGATTATGAAAAGGTATTTTTTGTGAATTTTCTTTTTTTCATACAAGTTTGTAACAGTCAATCTTTATTATTTATTATTAGCTTGTTAACAGGTTCCTATGCCTAACCTCAGATTTATGAGCATAGTGTGATAAATCAAACAAGTAAAAAATAATATTATAATAACAGGAATTTACTTAGTTTGGTTTAAAGATATATATATATATATATATATATATATATGATAAAATACATAAATAGAGCATCATTGTAGTCCAGGGGAGCCTGTAATTTAATTTAAAATTCCTGGAAGCAGCAGTCCTCTTTTCCCAGGCACTTTGAGTAAACTCAACTACCGTAATCTTTGTCTTCCTCCCATATGCTGTATATACCTTTCCTATTCTGGGGCCTCCTTGTCTCCTGCTGGAAACTAGGTATAACTAGTTTTACCAAATAATGGTATCAGGAGACAAGGAATGTAAGCATATAGTAAGGTCAGAAGTCATAGGTAACAAGAGTAATCAAACCATACTGTATATAAATATAAACTACTACTAGGTTTAACTATTAAAACCCTATATTACACAATTTATATGTTATATATTAGTGTATTCATGTACAGTTACTCTTGTGTCTATACAGTTGTGCTGTCAGCAATCTAAAAAAGGTTTCACTGGAACTTGGTGGGAAATCTCCTCTAATCATCTTTAACGACTGTGATCTTGACAAGGCTGTAAGAATGGTGAGAAGATTTACTAATGAAACAGTATGTTCTTGTTCCAGATATTAGACTGAGAAATTTGCAATCTGTAAAGAGAAGAAACTAAATATGAAATAAAAATATGTTTGGTTATTTGTTACAGTGAACCTAGATCAACCACTTTTGCCGCTGCCACTAAAATAGACCAGCACCTTGTGGAGTCTGATCAGCTACATCTGCACTGCTACTTTCAACTTGCATTTACGGCAAAGTGCAGGTTCTGTGTGAGGCAAAAGTAGTGATTGGTGAAGTCAAGTAGCTAATTAGTGTTTCCACTGCAGACAGAGATAACCCTCAGTTGAGAGATGGAAATGGCAGCAGCGAGCAAAACAGTCAATCAGAGCACTAAATATCTCAAAGGAAGTAGGACCACCATGCTTTTATGGCAGCAGCAATGAGTACTAGTAGAGAGTCCCTTTTTGAGAGTATGTATTGGAAACCTGTAAATATAAAATATGAAAACTCCATCCTGACTTTGATTTAAAGGTACATTAACCTGATTCTTGTTTAGTACCTAGTGAATCACTGGGCTAAAACAAGCATGCAGGAAAAGAGCTTTTCTCTCTCTTTCATTAATTGTTATTGAAATTATCACGAAAGAGACATTAACATGGATTTTGAAATCTTTAACAAGTCAGAACTGTGATCAGTAATACAGAAAGGTAGTGGCTGCTCAAAATTGGTAATTTTTTTCAACGTTTTCTAGAAAGAAATTAACATTTTATTCTTTCAGAGCAGAGCGGAAAAGTTAAGAGGGTAATGGTGGAAAAAGTAAATAATTTAGAGCTGTAGGGGAAAGAGGTTTGATTCTACTTTGGGGGTAATGTATCTGGAAGGATCAGTATTATACTACATTGGAAGCAATAACTAATTTATGATCATTTATGATGATGTAAGGAGGGACTCTACCAGACTCTGAAGTAAGGGCTACTCTGCAGATTCTGATGTAAGGGGACACTCTGCCATACTCTGATGTAAGGTAGTGGACACTGATGTGAACATGGCACTCATCCCAACTGCTACACTCCATATGTTGTTTTGTTTATTGCGTACACCTGACCCATGTGCTCTGTACATTTTGCATTGATATACAGTAAATAGACCTGACCAAGATGTTCATTGTCTCAACAGTTGCTAGTTTTAATGAAATTCTTCTTTATAGTAGGCTCAGTAAGGCAGTCTAAACATTAGTAATTTTTTATTTGTACAACAGCAGGTTGAAAAAAAAAATCTAGATTCCCACATCCACGGCATTCGACGTGGATGGAGGAATCACTCCTATTGAGGTATTGTGTTCTGACAGCAGAGAGACTTCTCTGCTGCCAAAATATGCTGATAAGTGCTGCCACCTTTAACTCATGTGGACATTTTCCTAAAGGCTGGTTGTACAGAAGTCGATCGGTACACTGCCCTACAAACTGCTGATCCCTCTCTGCTCTACTAACCCCTATCCTCTGACTTGCTGACCCCCAGTACCTCCAGTGCACTCTGCTATTGATTCCTGTTTTTGTACATTGCCGCCGACATGTTTTACTGCACCCCCACATCATACTGGCTAGATCCAGCCCAGATTTCCTTTAAAATGAAAACATGTCAAATACGGTAAAGGATAGCAGGACCTTGACTATATGTATCATATAATGGCAGACTTTTGGCACTTAACTTGTATTTCTCTGAGAAATATACAGTTCATACAGTATATAGCAGGCATCACTAAGTGGCGGACCACGGTCCGCAAACGAACCGAATGACAATCCTATACGGACCTCCGCTCCGACACTTAGCAGCCTGGATGTACTCTGCAGCTGATATCCCCCCCCACCCCGCCGCAGCTGAGCTACCGCTTCCGCCACAACATTCATTATAGAAGGCAGAAGGCACAGCATGTCCAGCCAGCGGGCGGGAGCTATCCAACTTTTCAAGTTAACAAGCCGGTGATTGGTTGCTAGGCATTCCTAGCAAGCATTCACCTGCCTGTTAACATGAAAAGCATGTCCCACATGTCCCACCCTCTGTCCAGGCATGCCGTGCCTTCTACCTGCTGTGTAAGGTAGGATCGAAAAGGAAGGTTGTGAATGGCAGGGGGGAAATATAAGGGCGGGGGCATTCATATAAAGGGGACTTGGCTGCAAGGAAGGAAGGTGGGAGCTGTGAAGGGGTAACAGTATACAAAAAAGGAGAGTTTTAAAGGGGACTGGGTGTGCAAGAGCAGGCTGAGATGCAAGTAAGGGGGGTCTGCAAAGGGTACTGGGTGCAAGTAAGGGGGGCTGTGAAGTGGACTGGAGTACAAGGAAGGGGGGCTGTGAGGTGGACTGGAGTACAAGGAAGGGGGGTTGTAAAGGCGGCAGGGGTGCAAGGAAGGGAGGAAATGTAAAGGAGACTGAGATGTAAGTAAGGAGCGGCTGTAAAGGGGCTGGGGTACAAAAAAGGGGGGCTGAGAAGAGGACTTTGGTGCAAGGAAGGGGGGTTGTGAGGACCCGGGTGCCAGGAAGAAGGGGCTGTGAAGGGGGCTGAGATGTAAGTAAGGGGGCCTGTAAAGGGGAATGGGGTGCAAGAAAGGGGGGCTGTGAAAGGGACTTGGGTGTATGTGGGGGGGGGCTATGAAGGGGACTGAGATGCAAGTAACATTGTAAAGAGGACTGGGGTACAAGGAAGGGGTGCTGTGAAGTGGACTGGGGTGCAAGGAAGGGGGGTTGTAAAGGGGACTGGGGTGCAAGGAAGGGAGGAACTGTCAAGGGGACTGGGGTGCAAAAAAAGGGGGGGTGTGAAGAGGACTTCGGTGCAAGGAAGGGAGGCTGTTAAGAGGACTGGGTGCAAGGAAGTGGGGCTGTGAAGTGAACTGGGGAGCAAGGAAGGGGGGTTGTGAGGACTGGGGTGCAAGAAAGGGGGGCTGAGATGCAAAGGGGGGCTGTGAAGGGGACTGAGATGCAAGTAAGGTTGTAAAGAGGACTGGGTTGCAAGAATTGGGGGCTGTGAAGGGGACTGAGATGTAAGTAAGGGGGAAGGGGGGGCTGTAAAGGGGACTAGGCTGCAAAGAAGGGTGGCTGTGAAGGGGACTGGGATACAAGGAAAGGGGGGCTGTGAAGGGGACTGAGATGCAAGTAAGGGGGCTGTAAAGGGGACTGGGGTTCAAGGAAGGGGGGCTGTGATGGGGACTGGGATTTAGGTAAGGGGGGGCTGTGATGTAAAGGGGTGACAGAGGACGCTCATGTGAAGGGGAGGGGGACTGTGATGTGAGGTGGTGGCTGAGGACACTGATGTAAAGGTGGGGGGGGGGGGTTGTGATGTGAAGGGGAGACAAAGGATAATTAAATAAAGGAGGCAGTGTGATGTAATATGGGGGGATTTGAATGCAAAGAAGGGCTTTGATGTAAAGACGTGGTTCAGCTATCTTAAAGGTGGTACTGTGGTATAAAGTGGGGCTGTTATGCGAAGAGGGCTGTGATGTAAAGGGGAATCTGTAATGTAAGAGGGTGGGGCAGTGATATGAAGAACCCGAATCATAGCACAAACATAAGACTCGGACCTCTGCTGGATGAAAGTTTTAATAATCAGATCTCCATGAATTTTAATTCAATATCCCTGGTATATAGTATAATAATGAGGCTTTTAACTCCCAACCCTAACATCTGTTGATTCTGCAAGTTTGGCCCTTTCTGCAGCACTTTCTTTGGAGAGCTGGAAAGCTACAAAAGTCTTTCCTAATTTGTAGCAGAGTTGTCACCCTCCCCTTGCAGCACCTTCACAGAAGCCTGCTGCATGATATAAACACGTTGGTGTTCACAAAAGCCACAGTCCGGCAACGGGATCTAGCTCTAGCATGGAGGAGTGACCTGTGCACCCACAAGTGCTTGCCTAGCTGCCATGTAGAAATACACATTAAATGAGGAACAAAAAGGTATCTATGTGCTAAATGTTTAATAAGCACATAAATAACAGTATTGGTCTGTCTATTCACTTTCAAGTATTTTGATGCATTACATACACTGTATATTTATTCTTTATGTTGGAACTAAAGTTGTAATGCTCAAGAAATACAAATAACAGAAAAATATCCATCTATATCAATTGCATAGACAATGTTTAGCCTTTATTATTTAGTACTTTACTCTTGTGTTTGTAGGGTATGGGAGCTGTGTTTTTCAACAAGGGTGAAAACTGCATTGCAGCAGGCAGACTGTTTGTTGAAGAATCTATACATGATGAATTTGTAAAACGCGTGGTAAGTCAGTTGCATGTCATAAGGTCTTACAGTATGTAAAGTTTAGTAAACTGCATTCTCATATACAACGTACAGTATAATTTATTTACAGTATAATTTATTCAGGAAACATTCATATACTTGAACCACCCAAATAATGAATTGCATAAAATGTTTATTTAAACCTACCTGGTCTCATTTGCAAAAATAACCAAAACACTATACGGGGCATTGGTGAGTAGAGTTTTGTGATCAATAGCGGCTTGTGAAACTGCATCATTCACTGATACGTTTTGTTATATAAAATCTGATGGGTTGTAGTGCTGTGCATGCCATCATTTCCAGTTGCACTATTTTACTTGAAAGAATGTCTTAGCTCTAATCTTTATTTCTAACCTAGAAGAGTTTATCTAACAAGTTTATCTTATATGTAAATTATCTTATGTTTATCTTATATGTAAATTATCGAGGGCACTTAAGAAGTAAAAGGGAATGTATGGAACATATTACCAAGCCTATGCTAATTGTGTAGGTAGAAGAAATTAAAAAGATGAAGATCGGTGACCCTCTGGACAGATCTACAGATCATGGTCCACAAAACCACAAGGCCCATCTGGACAAACTGCTGGAGTACTGTGAAACTGGAATGAAGGAAGGAGCCACCCTGATTTATGGAGCCAGACAGGTGCCTCGTCCAGGTACTTACAGAGAAAAGCCGTGAAATAAATTCTAGATGATGCTGAAAACAATCATTAAGGTGTATCTCTAGCAGGGGCGGACTGACCATCTGGAAACTCGGGCACTGCCCGAGGGCCCGGGGTCAATAGGGGGCCCCATGAGATGCCTCTGATACCTTTTTCATAGGCTTTTTTGAGTTTGGGCAAGGACACAGGGGCCCCATGATCCCCTATTGCCCAGGGGCCCCATGAGTTTTCAGTCTGCCCCTGATCTCTAGCTAAAATCTTTGTATTTTATTTTATTAAGGAACACAGCAATGTAGTCAATTCTTAGACACCTTTGCTACAGCTTTCAAGATGCTCCGTACACACCGTAGATATTTTTGGTGACTTAAAAAATGCTACTTGAGAGCTAGTTTCTACACAACAGCAATGGTTTTGGAGGCCTTAGTGGGACTCCACTGGACTGGAAGATTGCAGAGCTAATCTGAAATTTTGACTTTTGGGCACTGGGCTCTGCATTGTGAAAAAAAACAACCAAACACTTGTTTATGTTCAAATATTTAGTGCTTAATGTAAATGCTCACATAAAACAAAGCCTCCCAAAGTCTCTGTTGTTATAGCCAAGTGGAAAGAGTGATCCTGCAGCTCCTAGTTCCAGATCTGGGACCGATCCAGTCCAGGTACATTAAAGAGAACAAAATTGCAAGAGATCAGTAAAAGAGTATCACATTTATTGGTAAAATAGCACTATCTATCTTGTCGTATCCAACCCTTGGCGATTGCATGGACTGTCACTCGTAAGTGACTTTTTTCATGAATTCTCTTAGCAATTATTTTACAGGGTAGGTTGCCAGGTCTTTCCCCAATCCCTACCATGCAGGAGATCCTGCATGGCCAGGGATGAAACTAGGGACAATTGAGACAGAAGCCAATTAACCTACCAGCTTGTCTTTGGAGTGTGGGAGGAAACCGGAGTACCTGGAGGAAACCCACGCGAGCACAGAGAGAACATGCAAACTCCATGCAGGAGGCGCCATGGTTGGGAATTGAACCCATGACCCATTTACTGCACAGCAGACATGCTAACCACTAAGCCACTGTGCCGCCCTAAAAATAGCACACTTACATCAAATTTGCCTGCATCCAGCTCTTAGTGCAGAAGTAAACCTTAATGTAAGCATGCTATTTTTTTTACCAATAAATTAGATATTCTTTTACTGATCTCTACCACCTTGCAACTTTCTCTTTTGGGCTCTGCATTATGGCATTTTTACAGACCACTGTGCATTGGTTAAGTAGCAGCGTGTTCTCCAAGCCCAGAGCTGTGGCAACACCTCTGATATGAGTCAGTCTTTATGGATTCACAAAGTAAATGAAGCTGGTCGGACTGAAACACTGAGGGCTAGCTCACAGTTGGTACACTATTTTAAAAATTCTCATACTGCCATCTTACAGTGGTAATTGTTAAGGGTGAGGGAACTGAGTGTTGACATCACCTGCTAGGTGGAGTTGTGCGTGTGACACCATTCAACTAGTCTAAAGGAAGTCACTTCCCGTCTGCTGCTGCTCATGGATCAACCACTCTCCAGTATCATTCCACTGCCCATCTACTGTAACTTTGTCACCTATGGTGGCCAGTGACCCATTTCAGCATCAGATGCTTAGATTTACTACTAAGCAAGGCCATTCCTCACTTTGGGCCTAGTTGTTTTCCACTTTACTGTGCAATAAGCAAAAGACAAACAGAAGGCAGTCTCAGTGCAGCAATCTCAGCCTATACTTCTCCATTGTTCCTAGGAGCGACTTGGTATCTCCAGAAGGTTACACCTGTAACCTAGATCCTATACATATATAGGGCCATCCTCATCAAAATCCTAAATTGCTTGGCAGCGTAAGACTGAGACCAGCCATATGTCCACAAGATCTTTAGTATTCATGTGAACAATTAATGTAGCAAACTGCTCACAGAGGCTCTAATCGTGCTCTGGCACCATCCAGGACAGAATCTAATTTCAACCTTATTGAACTTCTGCCTCTGGGTGTGCCTGAGGTCCGTACTACCATCTATGATTCACATTCAGAATCCTTACAGTCTTTTACTGAGGAGACTGTATTTCTGCAAAACCACATGACTCAGATTGACAAAGAGTTCTTAATAATATGATTTTTGCAGTATGTTTAGTCTTGCAGTTGGAGGATCAGCCTACTGTTCCATGCATAGGGTCTTTTGATAAGGTGAAGGAGTTTTTCCTTTGAAATGTGTCTATTGATAAGTGGTACTTGTCATCCACCTTAACAAACATACCACCAAACAAGTTAGTGATCTTACCTTCAGGGATTTCATCGACAGACAGTTGGATTCCCTACTTAGGTCTTAGTTTGAGTTCTCTGGAATACCTCTCCCTGTTGGCTTTGTCTCAGATTTGTGAATGCATGTCTTTGTGGATCAGATCTCTCACTCACTCCATCTCACTTACATTCCCTCTTGTCCTGAAGCTTTTTGAACAAATATCTGGAGCTCTGATGGTTTCTTTCAAGCATTCAAGCTTGTATCTTGCATGGGTGTATGGTCATTCAGATGCATAGCGTTCATTGACTTTGCATCTGACCTGCTGAGGATACACTTAAGGAGCATTTAAGGGTAGGTGTCTGTTTAGTTCTGCCCTTGACATTGTCATTACTGATAATTCACATCCATGCATGTCTCCCTAAGAGATACCGTGACATCCTGCTAATTTTGATTTCCCTCTCCCTGAAGTGAAGGGTTAAAGGGCTTCTATTCTAGCCTGTGATGTAATTTGGTTGGTCTTTTTTCTATACATATGTTGTCTATCCAAATTTCTTTCCCTGATATCAAGGGCTAGGTATTCTAGTCTTAGGCCTTTAATCAAATATATATTCTTTGTTGTGGACCACCTGCAATGTTGGTCCATGTTTTCATTCCCTCCTCAGCTAGTTTGTTATTCCACCTGTTTTCTTTATAGCGGATGGTTGGTTGTCTTCCCCATCCCCTATTTGAGGTCCATCATTCTTCAGGTAACAGTTTCCTCTTACTGGCTGTTTCCTGTCCTGGACTGTAGCACTGGATTGATCTTTAATGCCCTCCCCTTGGGGTCATGGCAGTTTTTCATATTTTATAGAACCTGCTTTGTTTAGCCTTCATTCAAGTGTTTAACCCTCTCAGGTGCCCCTTGTATTATGATTTCTGGGTCTGTGAGAAGTCTGTGACTACTGCCCACCCATAGTTGGACTGCTTTTGGACATTCCAAATTAATTCACTACATTCCTGTGTTCCTTAAAAGACAATAAAGAAAAAAAATGTACTTACCGTAAAATGTTTTTCTTGCAGCCACTAGAGGACACAGGTCTCATTCCTGTTTTTTGCTGGCCTAATGCACTGCTTGCTCACAGGCATGAAGATTGAAGCTGGGTTTATACAGGGGTCAGCCTAACATTTTTGTTTTCCATTGTCATAACTTCCTTAAGGTGGTAGTATAATCCAAATGTCTACTAATTTAATATATTCCCGTGTCCCTCAATGGACTTCAAGAGAAAAAAAAGGAATTTTGATTTGCCTGTAAATTTCATATCTTGGATTACAGTACAGGACACAAGCTGAGTATTCATAGACCCTGGGTTTTAGAAGGCTTGTACCTTCAGGTGATAGGAAGTTAGAGGACAAACCCCATGGGCCCTTTCCCTTTAACCCTACTCCTCTTCACGAGTCCTCAGTTTTGTAGAAAGCAGTGCAGATTAACCAAGGTATAGAGGGAAGGGTGTCCTGTGTCCTGTACTGTACTCCAATATATGGAATTTACAGGTAAATCAAAATTCCTCTTAACTTATTTGTGCAGTACAGGACACAAATTGAATATTCATATCCCTTGGCATCCCCAAGCAATAAATGAGAAAGGTGGGCAACAACTAGGCAACAAGGGTCAATAAACCCAATTTCAGAGTTCTACTACAAGAAAGTTGCGCCTAAAAAACAGCATCTGCAGAAGACTGGATATCCACCTGGTAGAGCTTTGAAAAGGTATAAAAAGAGCAGCAGGTGGTGGTCTTACAAAGCTGGGCAAAGAAACTCCAACTGACCTGGTGGATTGGGTGTGTAAAAGTGCAGGAGGAGCTTTGTCTTTGAGAGTGTACAAGCTCTAGCAATCGTGTCTTATTCATCAAGTGATGGTGAGCTTGGAAGCAGGATGTCACTTCAAGGTCTTGAGGAAAGGACAATAGGGAATCTGTCTTCCTGATTGAAGCTGTTGCTTTTAGGTAGACTCTTGTGGCTCTGACTACATCTAGGCAGTTGAGAGCAATTTTCTTTGGGTCCCTTGGAGCAAGGTGTAAATATGGTAGGACTATGCTTAAATAAGGTGGAAGATTGATGCTGCCTTAGGCAGAAAAAGATGGTCTTGGGCCTAAGACATGTCATTGTGAAGAATGAGGAATCCCCCTTTACAAGAGAGAGCTGCCAAATCCAAGACACATCTGACACATGTGATAGTGACCAGAAAAGCCACCTTGCAGGAAAGGTAATCTAAGGGAATATCCTTGGGCAGAGAGAATCAAGTTCATTTCCAAGGAAGGACACAGAATGCTACAAATGGGATCTTGATCCAAAGTTTTATTAAGGAAAAGGCCAAAGGTTTTTGTAAAAGAATGGACAAGCCCAAAACATGTTCTTTCAGAGTTTTTAAGGACAAGTTCCGGTCAAAACCTGATTGTAGGAAGGCCAGAATGAAAGGCACACAGACATCTCTGGGACTGAGGTGCTTTTGTTCACACCAGGAAAAGAAGGATTTCCAGGTACTTTCTGGAAGTGGCTCTTCTTGCTTTTAGCAAGGTATGACAGACTCAGAGACTCCTTTATCTCTTAAGACCTGGGCTTTAACAGCCATACTATTGAAGCAGGATAAATACATAAGGCCCTGAGACAAATCTGGCCTGTTGGAAAGAGGCCAGGTGTCATGTCCTAGGAGTATGTCTGTGTTTACCAGGTTCTTCTTGTCCAGTTTCGTGCAATGAGAATCACCATCTTCTCTTGCTCTGTCTTGTGGATCAGATGAGGTAGAATTCACTTAGGGGGGAAAAGGCCTAGATTAGCCTGAACTGAGACCAGGGGATTATCAAGGCATCCAATGCTAGCACTAGGGTGCCTTGGTCCTGCTGTTTTTATTGATAGATTAGGTTCTGTGGGGTTTTACCTACTCTATTTGTGTGTGCATGTCTAAGTTTTATTGAAATTTAAATTGTAATTTATGGATTGGGGTAGATTCAGAGATATATACTTTTAAGAATGTATGTATGTGTCCGGGGAGTTGTTTTTATTTTATTTGTATGAGTAGTGCCGTTGATCGGCATAGGCTGTTCAATGGCGCTAGTTCACCAAGTCCATTGCTGTGAGTTCTGCATAGCAGTTCCTGTGTTCCCGTTAATTGTTTCTGCGCATCCATGGTAACCATCAGGAAGGGTGTGTATATGTAGTGTGGTGTGCCTTAGGACTGCATGACTCTGAGGAAATCAAATCAGGAGGCAACACATTAGGTGGGAGTCTCCGGGACATCATCATGCTGTTCAGAGTTCTTGGAGACTGCTGATCCCAGGCTGCAGGGGAATCGGGTCAGGCAGATGTTCCGGAGACCAGTGACTTTGTTTTTACTTGTGTTAACCTTGATGTTTTACATGTGAATGTTCTGATCATTTATATTTTAATAAATTAACACAATAGAGAGCACTATGGAAATGTCCCAAATTAAATTGGGGAAAGGCACAGCCTCAAATGAGGCTACCATGAGGCCTAGAATTCTCATAGAAACTCTCATTGTGGAATGTCTCTTTGACCTTAATTCTCAAGCATGAGCTCTGAAAAAGAGAGGATTTTCTTTTCTGGAAGGAAAACATTTACAGACTAATGTATTCTCGGGGCAGAAAAGGCTGGAGAGAAGATTTTTGGAAATTGATCATCCAAAGAAAAGCCTGGAGCATCTGAATTGTACTGTGGACATTTGCAGACAGCTGGAAGGGACATGAGTCCTTCAGGAGAGGGTCATCCATTTAACCTGTTGCCCTGAGTTCTGAGAAGGGCAAGAAGAGGTACTAGGACCTTTATGAATACTCTAGGAGCAGACTGGATAACCGTGTGTACTCTCCAGTGCTTCAGGAAATTAATTGCCAAAGGGAGGCCAAGGAGACCAGGACAGAAGTGGCCTAAAGATAATGCTTCAGGGGTGCAGCCCTCCTCAGACGGGGGAGATCAACCACTGGAAAAAGAGAAGACAGGCTGCGCAAACACCTAGTGCATTATCCAAGATTTATCCAAAGGTGTAAAAGACAAAAACATACTCACAGACATAGCATGTATAAAAATCTTTTGCATAATGGAGATGGCCGCAGCAACGGGCAAGGTGTTCCAACTGTCAGTGTAGTCAGGAGGCTGACACGTTTCGCGGACGAGTCCCTTTACTGGTAGCTCTGAGGAAAGAGCTACCCCGAAACACTTCAGCCTCCTGACTACACCGACAGTTGGAACACCATGCCTGTTGTTGCAGCCATCTCCATTATGCAAAATATTTTTATACATGCTATGTGTCAAGGTCCTACCTTTCCTCAGGGCTTGTGCTGCTCCATGTGCTGGCATCCATCTTAGGTGTCTGCAAAGCATTGTGGGATCCTTTATGCTTTCAGCCCTCTGTGGCTCCTCCCCCAGGAGGTGGCAGGCTTATCACATATAAGTCTGCTGGTTGTAGCTGTCCATTGCATTCGTGTCCTGTCTGTTGCACAGCAGCAAGCTCCTGTTTAGTTTCTCGTTGCTCTCCTAAATACCGACTCGGCTTTGGGAAGACTCCTTCCTGGCTTCTGACCCCAGCTCTGGCAACCATCCTTCCTGGCTTCTGACTCCGGCTCTGGCGACCATCCTTCCTGGCTTCTGACCCCGGCTCTGGCGACAGAGGAGTTGGAAAAAGGGCTAGGCATTTTGGAGCCTTGTAGGCATTTTGGAGCCTTGGACAGAAATGGCTATATTAAAGCTTTTAGTTCATGGAAGTAGAGTTGGATGCAGAGACTGATGTTAAAATTGGGTCCAGTACAAGAAATGTCGTCGTTAAGTGTTGTTCGGGCCTTTGGCAGAGCGAATGTTCACCGGAGCTTTTGCCATGGCTCCTTTTCAGTTGGTTTCCATCATAGCCATAGGTGAGGTAGTCCCTGTAGGTTACTCACGCAGTAGAATGCAGAATATAGGGTAACCATGTCTGGAAGGAGTATGCAGCAACCCAGGTGCAGACTGTCCTGTAGCAACAAGCGTCCTACTAGATGTAGCAAAGTCCTCATGGTGAAAGGGTGGGAGGAAGCATCTGGGCACTTTGTAAAGGTTCTAGGCAAAAGTGTTGGTAAAGTGTGCAACTAGTGGTGTGATGTAACACCTGGTCATTCACCTAAGAATGATCTCTGAGTTGTTTAAATATTAGTGGCAAGTTGGAAATGTTTGCACTGTAAAGTGAATACATTCCAAGTTTATTCTGTCTTACCTGTCCATGACGCTGGACCCTATATTGGGCTTCATCCATCACACCCCTGAAGGGGTCTTCAGTGTATGGGTTCCATAGGGATGAAGCACAGCCCTGGACCTGAGTTCCCGTGTAGGATCCAGTGTCTAAAGCAACACTACAGGCCGTCCACATATTGTGTGGTACGTGTACAGCCCCCAAAGTTTTACCATCCTGGATCCATTGTCCCCAGAGCATGAGATAAAGAGAACTCTTCCAATGGGAACACCTATTCCAGGGACAACTGTCTAAGAGGGGAACTCCCCTACTTTAGGGAGACTTCCTCTAATTTCCTGTTGCGTCCCTGGGACAGAAAATGAAGGGAATTTCCCCAGTGATACATAAAGAGAAAAGAATAAACTGGTCGGGGGTTTTATTTTTATCCTAGTTTATCAAAAACTGAAAAGCTTTGGCTTTACATACAGTACACTTTAATGCACCAATATATACTGTATAATAAACTAGCATTGATATGAATGTTGCTTTGAATATAATCATCGACATACAGTAAATGTTAAAAAAAAAGATACCCTTTAATATTTTTTAGGTTTTTTTATGGAGCCAACCGTATTTACAAATGTAGAAGACCACATGTATGTTGCCCAGGAAGAATCCTTTGGGCCAGTAATGGTTATTTCCAAGTTCAAGGATGGGTAATGTTTTATATTTAAATTTTGATGTTTATGAAAACATACGCTGATTGTTTCTTGTTTGTTTGTCGTTTTTCTGTGACAGAACAAAAATGTAAGCATACCTATAAAAATTATACAGTAAATGAAGTAATGTTTTATTGGTTTTGCTGGAATGGATACAAAGCAATAAAAGGGGCTGAACTGTTTGTGCACATCTGTAGTCCTACTGACTTGAGATCATGTGACCAAATGACTCCAAGAAAGTTAACAATTTAACACTTCTATGACTATCCTAGCAAGACTGCTAAGAAAATTCTATATTAACATTTGAGAACAGGGTAACCCTCATTTTCCTCCTGGGCAAAACCCTCAACAATTTACATGGTGGATCAACAAGGGTCTCTATAGGATAGCACATTTTCTAGACCATAAAGGGATCAGCTTTTATAAGCTTAGAGCAATTTAAAAATTGAAAATGATTCCTGATTGCTTGATATAGCTGGGCATTGGAGAAACCCACTTGCCCTTGTCCCAATTTCCCACAGAGAAAAGGAACAATGTCCAAGTACTCTACACAAATAGCAAAAGACAATTAGCGTTGTCAATATTAGTGCAAAATACCATAAGCTATCTGTAACATATGAAATCTAATATATATAAATAATTAACAAATAAACATGCTAAAAATCTGTGAATTGCTAGCTGCTGCCCAGCACCGTTAGGCATTTTCACTCCACTCCTCCTAAACATGATACAAACAATGATGCAGCGCCAAATAATGAAACAAAGAAAGTCCATCAATATATATGTGGCCAGCCACCAGTGAATTCCAAATATCTAAGTCTCCAATTTTACAGGACACCCACATGTCACATGCACAACACCCAGTGAACAATAAGCACTCACCTCCTGGATTGGACCTTTATCGATATTTGCCCCCTCTGGGGCTATACTTCAGTTGGCTCCTGGCTCCCGGTATGGTCCAAGTACACATTCTCCAGTGTTTTTAAATATACACTATATTGCTAAAAGCTCCAATCACCTCCATGGCCACAGGCGTATAAAATCAAGCACCTAGGCCTGCAGATTGCTTCTACAAACATTTGTGAAAGAATAGGTTGCTCTCAGGAGTTCAGTGAATTCAAGCGCGGGTACTATGATACAACCTGGTTGCGACCTGTGTAATAAGTCCATCCATGAAATTTCCTTGCTACTAAACATTCCACGGTCAAGTGTTAGTGGTATTATAACAAAGTGGAAGCAACTGGGAACAACAGCAACTTGGCAATGAAGTGGTAGGCCACGTAAAATGACAGAGCAGGGTCAGCGCATGCTGAAATGCACAGAAGTCGCCAACTGTCTGCAGAGTTAATAGCTAAAGACCTCAAAACTTTGTGTGGCCCAGGGCTGTATTTACCACAAGGCAAACAAGGCGTTTGCCTAGGGCGCCACTTTTCAGGGGGGCAGCACCACCCCCTGGAAGGAAGTACACTTGCAGCATGAGGACCGGGTGGGAGTCGAGAGAGGCTGCAGAGTGCATGGTTGTGTATGCAGAGCCCGACTCTCATTCTCAGGGTTGTCTGGAGCTGTGAAGGTGAGTGACTTTCTGTCCAGGGGGATGGGCTGTGTGTTAGTGGAAGGCTCTCTCGGGTGGGGGGCAGGGGTGTTGTTGGTCAATGTTAGGCTTTCTCTGTGTGGGGGGGGGGGGGTCAGATTTTTGTGTTGCCTAGGGCACAACAAAACCTAAATACACCACTGGTGTGGCCTTCAGATTAGCACAACAATGCATAGAGAGCTTCATGGAAAGGGTTTCCATGGCCAAGCAGCTGCATCCAAGCCTTACATCACGAAGTCCAATGCAAAGCATTGGATGCAGTGGTTTAAAGCATGCCATCACTGGACTGTAGAACAGTGGAGATGTGTTCGCTGGAGTGACGAATCACGCTACTCTGTCTAACAATCCAATGGACGTGTCCGGGTTTGGTGGTTGCCAGAAGAATGGTACTTACCTGACTGTATTGTGCCAAGTATAAAGTTTGGTGGAGGGGGGATTATGGTGTGGGGTTGTTTCTCAAGGGGTTGGTCTAGGCCTCTTAGTTCCAGTGAAAGGGACTCCTAATGCGTCAGCATACCAAGACATTTTGGACAATTTCATGCTCCCAAATTTGTGGGAACAGTTTGTGGATGGCTCCTTCCTGTTCCATCATGACTGCACACCAGTGCACAAAGTAAGATCCATAAAGACATGGATGAGCGAGTTTGGGGTGGAGGAACTTGAGTGTCCTGACCTCAACCCGATAGAACACCTTTGAGATGAATTAGAGCGGAGACTCCAAGGCAGGCCTTCTTGTCCGACAGTGCCTGACCTCACAAATGCTCTCCTAGAAGAATGGGCAAACATTCACATAGACACACTCCTAAACCTTGTGGACAGTCTTCCCAGAAGAGTTGAAGCTGTTATAGCTGCAAAGGGTGGGCCAACTCAATATCGAGCCATCCGGACTAAGACTGGGATGCCATTAACGTTCATGTGCTTATAAAGGCAGGCGTCCCAATACTTTTGGCAACATAGTGTAGCTTGCAGTACAAAGCACTTTAAACACTAATTCTGAATATTATTGTCATAGTAGAATTTATTGCTGTCATTTCCATTTCTTTTGTTTTTGCTCATGCAGTGATATTGAAGGTGTTCTGGCACGAGCCAATAGCACAGAATATGGGCTAGCATCTGGAGTCTTCACAAAAGATATCAGTAAAGCAATGTATGTGACTGAGAAGCTGGAAGCCGGAACCGTGTTTATCAACACCTACAACAAAACAGACGTTGCTGCACCATTTGGAGGATTCAAACAATCAGGCTTTGGCAAGGACTTGGGTAATAATTTGGTTTATTATGAACATCTGTGTATGTTAAATTATATAGAAAGGGGAAAAACATCCATAGACTTTGCTCAGACTAAGAATATATTTGACAGTTAATTGACCAATTAGATTAACAGTAATCTGCAGATAATTTGCCTGTACATTCATTCACTCTGATTCTGTGTTCTTAGATGCTAAATGGGGTTGAGGAAATAGTAGTCACATGATGACTATTTCTACGTGTTATATGAATATCATTTGCTATTTTCCTCAACGCCCATAGTCATAGAATGCAGTACAGTTGCCAAATGATCAGTTTGAATAGGTTTATCCATATAAATATAAAGTAAACATGTCACTTTAATATCAATTTAAATGTAACAGTTGCATGCAGGTACTGTTAAAGTACGTCTTCCTGACCCTAGGTGCTCAATATACACAAGGCAACCTCTAGTTCTGATGTCACAGTTCTACCTTGTCCCCCTACCCCTTACACTCTTTTTTTTAACTAAACAAACTGTTGATTTTACTGTCAGAGTAGAAATGGTTGATCACTATGTAGCTTGTAGGCCACAGTGGAAGATGACCTGTCTCAGCTAAGGGCTTATAAGTGACACTCTGACTCTGGTTTACTAAAGCAGTAGAGCATGTTCACTTTCAAAGTGAATTTTGATTGATCTGTGTGCCAATGTGAGCTACATGCAATGGATATTGTGTAAATCCAGCCTTAAGCATGGACCATCTAGTTGTTTATATCTAGTGTACAATGAAAGGCTGACCGGTGAAGTTTCATTGGTAAAGCGATGCTTCACTCTAAAAAATAAAATTTTAATAACATGACACTCACCTGTCCAGGGATCCAGCTCTGCACTCACCCGCTTCTTCGCTGGTCTTTGGGTCTCTGTCACTGGCATGTTTACTGTGGGCAGGCAGCTGTGATTTCTTGCAGCTGCACAGCCACCTGCCCACTGCGCATGCGTGAGCCACGCTGCTCCTTCTGCATGGTCCCAGTCTTCTGGGACCTGTGATGTGGGGGGGGGGGGGATGCTGGTGTATTGCCACAGAGATCCCACCAGAAGTAGGCATGGATACTTGTCAATAACCAGGTACCCGCCGCCCCCCTCAAAAAAGTGAAGGGGGGGGCATAAAGTGGAATGTGCCCTTTAGGGTAATGTTCCGTTTTAAACTATAGACCAACTAGCTGCCTATACCCAGTGTACAACGAAAGGCTGCCCACTGAAGTTTCATGGATGAACGTGAAATTAAACCCAGGTTTGAAAGAAAAATATTCTAATAAAATATGCATTCTTAACTTAAAATATGTACATTCTATTGTTCTCAGCTGCCTCCAAAACTCTAAATTCCATTTTTTTTGTTAGCTGCTATGATCTGACTTCCTGTTAGAGGGTGGCAAGGTTATTTCCCTATGGTCCCACTGTATGTAGCAATGAAGACACCTTTTTCTTTCTCACTTGCAAGGTGGACCAGAGACTATGGCATGTGTAGCGTGCATAGAGCAGTGCACATGCCCATAATTAATGCATGCTACTAGTTTCAAACAAATGGAAGCAAGGAGGTAAATGAGAGATTCGGGAGCTCACAAAGGGTGTTACAAGTAGGTATAAAAACACAAGAATAGATCACAGGGCTATTAGGCAGTAGATATGTATGTATTATTTTTGGAAAGTAGGATATTATTTAATGACAGTTTCAAGATGACACATGTCCATTAATTTCAACCACATCAAGATGCGTTCTCAGAACCCTGCACCCACAGTTGATGCACATAATCCAGTAATATACCTTGAATTTAAACTGAATATAAGGCAAATAAGGTGTTCACTATGAATACACTATGAACATTGCTTACGTGTAGCTTCTAAAGTCTTGTTTTGTCACACAGGTGAAGAGGCTCTCCATGAATACCTCAGAACTAAAGCAATTACTGTGGAATACTAGACTTGTCAACTGAATCCAAATACCCCACAGGATTTATTTTTGTAATCAGATAATTTTCACATCTCTAAAGAAAATAGAGCACCATTTAATATGGATGTATTAAGGATACCACCAAACTATTTCCTATTTCATATAGCATCAATCTTTTACATGCCGTTTTCTCAAAAAATATAAGTAATCTGTAATGATTCTTGTCTTATGAGGTGTTATGATGCAGCAGGATATATTATCTGCATTATAGGCAGGCCTTTTTTATTAGAAAAATAAATAAATATCACTTGTGTAAACATTTTTGTATTGATGAATTTGGTAAATGTGCTAAGCCACTTCCATGCATGGACTTTTCCGGTTGCTACAGGTTACAGCAAAATTGCCTTATAAAAGATTCGGGGGGGATATCCTCCTGCACTTGATATGGGTAAGTCCCTATCTACTAGCTGCAATCACTCAACCTCAACCAATAAGTCATAAATACCATGCATTAAATAGTGAAGCGCTCCCAAATTATCTAAACAAATTCCCTCTGTGCATACCATAAATACCCACTGAAATTAAAAATAATTGATACTATAAGGTGATAAAAACCATATAAACTAAATCAATTAGTGAAAAAATAAAATGCATAAACACCTGACCATAAGGACCCTGATGAAGTCACGACGCACGTGACGCAACGTGTCGGAACGCCATTCCCAGTTCGAGATTTCGTCACTTCCGGTCACGTGGGGACGTTTGTCCGGACGCAGCGGCCATATTTGTTTCCCTCCCTGTATGAGAATACACCCATGATGTGAGGTGGAAAAGCGCTGTATTCAAGGATTACATGTGAGTGGGAAAAATTTGTTATGCCAAATTACTCCTAATAAACGGTATTACACTATGGGAAGCTTTTGTTTGTGTCCTATATGACGTGTTGAGAGGAGGTGGAGTGGAAGTCCTGAGGTCCCTTGCTGAGTTGCCTGGAGGAAAGGATTGCCTTTGAGGAGAGTTTTTTGCCTTGTGGCCCTGTGTGGGTCGAGGAGGGGAGGTGGTGAGCAGGCATTGCTGCTGCCATTGGAGGATTCCTTTTTGAGCACTAGAAGTGAAGATCACAGAGTGTTTTCACATTTTGCATGGACTATTTGAGTTTATTTTGAACACTGAGTTCATTCATTTTTATCACTGAATTAAGTAGCAATTTATTTTTATTTTATTCTGTTATAGGGTTTTATCACAAGATATATGTATTACATAATTTATTGCAGAATCACTATTTTTGATCTATAGGTTTGTCACAATTATCACGATTTGTCACATTTTTTATTATGAATTAGTATTATTATGATAATTGATTCTATCACTGATATTTGAGTATTCATCATGGATTTTATATTCGTTATTTTCCATCACAGATCTATTAAGAGGCAATAATAATTGGTATATATGATGAGAGGTGTTTATGCATTTTATTTTTTCACTAATTGATTTAGTTTATATGGTTTTTATCACCTTATAGTATCAATTATTTTTAAGTTCAGTGGGTATTTATGTATGCATAGAGGGAATTTGTTTAGATAATTTGGGAGCGCTTCACTATTTAATGCATGGCCTTATAAAAGATTCCTGTCAACGACCTCACAACACTGAGAGGCAATGTATCCCTTTATGTGACTAAAATCCTAATAAAATCAAATGTCCGTACATAAAGTCCTCATTGCAGAGCTAAAGAAATAAAATCTAAGTCACATCCTTATCAAGTTTCATCCAGATAAGATCCCTCATATCCGAGTGCATGAAGTAATAATAAATAGAATCACCACTTGTGGAGTACCATCACCATCTACCTCTCACCTGATGGAAAGGCTTACTGAATTTCGGTCTAATAATGCCTTTAACCCTATTATCCATGGGTTATGGTGATATCCTTCATCTTATAGTACTGAGAGCCTCCGGTGCAGTTGAATCATGGGGATATGTATGGGAAAAAATGCTAAAATAGTGTGTACCTGTATACACTATTATTAAAAAATGTTAAAAATAAATACACTCACAAATATGCACTGTCCTGGTGCACTACAGATACCAACAGTGGTCAAAACAGATATTCCATATACCTGCGGTACCTGGTGGGAATTCTGTGAGTGGAATGAGCCACGCAGGCGTAACTCGTAAGGGTGTGGAGAGTAACATTTTAAACCTTAACAGTACTCACAAGGTAGATCGCTACAGGAGAAAATCAGAGGATGAGAGCAAGGGAGGGAGAACGCTGATTCCGCTCACAGAATTCCTACCATGTGCAGCGGGTATATGGAATATCTGTTGGTATCTGTAGTGCACCAGGATAGTGCACCCTATTTGTGAGTGTATTTTATTTTTAAAATGTTTTAATAAATTGTGTATATGGGTACACACTATGTCAGCATTTTTTATCTATACATATCCCCATGATTCATCTGCATCGGAGGCTCTGAGTACTATAAGATGAAGGATTTCACCATAACCCAGGGATAATAGGGTTAAAGGCGTTATTAGACCAAAATTCAGTAAGTCTTTCCATCAGGTGAGAGGCAGATGGTGATAGTACTCCACAAGTGGTGATTCTATGTATTATTACTTCATGCACTCGGATATGAGGGATCTTATCTGGATGAAAATTGATAAGTATGTGACTTAGATTTTATTTCTTTAGCTCTGCAATGAGGACTTTATGTACGGACATTTGATTTTTATTAGGATTTCAGTCACACAAAGGGATACATTGCCTCTCAGTGTTGTGAGGTCTTTGACAGGAATCTTTTGTATTGCAACATTGTAGCACTGTCCTGACAAGTATATTGTTTATTGTATATGTGGTGTGGACATATGAGGACATAGCAGCAACATTTTCAGTTTTGTGTCCATTCCTTTGTATCTGATTAGTGTTATATATAATGATTGCACACAGGTTTTTTTTTACTTTTTAAAGTTGCCCTTACTGCCTATGATTATGAGGAATGTTCTAGTGTTCTTTTCCCTTTTTGTTGTGAAATTAATTGACATCATAAGTTTCTGAAATAGTTGTACTACAAAAAAAAAACACGTACACTCATTTTTCCAGCACCACCTTTACTTAAGTACATGTGTAAAACTGTAAGTGCATTTACTTATTTCACTAAACATTAACCACTTTAACTCTTATACTTGTACTCCCTACCAAAGTCTACGTTTAATAAAAATAAATAAATAAATAGGTGTATACTTTCCTGCTCTGTGCAATGGAATTTCCCAAAACAGCCTAAAGCTCCTCTTGTGGAGTTCCGCCCCAGCACTCCTGGCTCCTCCTCTACTCCAAGTGCCCTATAGAAAGAGATACTTGCTATAGGAGCATTCATGCGGGCTCAATCCCGAGCCACGCTGCCTGCGTCCATTGACACACACAGCATGGTTCGACCTTGCCCCACCACAGGATTTGACTGCAAGCAGTGGAAGGCTATGCCTCCTGCTGCTCTCAGTCTGTCCTGTGAGAGCAGGGAGAGAAAACAGAGCTGCTGCAGATGGGCACAGCACGGGATCGAGTGTGGATTAGAAAAGTATGGGAGGGGAGGGGGTAATACTGATGCCTAAACATTTTTTACCTTAATGTAGGGAATGAATTAAGGCAAAAAAGACTTTAGAACCACTTTAAGATAACAAAAGTAATTACATGTATTTTTTTTTGGGGGGGGGGGGGGGGCAAACAAAGCTTTTATTTGATTAATTGTGATATTGTCTTACAATATATTATTCTCTTTTCAATCCTTGGACTAAAAGATGTAACAAAACTAAAGAAAAAAAAACCTTTTTTGTTTATTATAACTAGTCTTACTGTAGATAGTAAGTCTAGATTGATTATTTTTCCTTTTTAAAATGACACTAAAAATAAGAGCATGGTACAAAACATTGCAAAGTGTACGAAAGAAATAAAGGTTTTTTTTTTTATATTTTGTGTATATTTTTTAACGCAACACTAAAACATTAAAGCACAGTTTAAAAAGGTTGAAATATTAATTTAAAATAATTAGCTGAGAAATACTAGCTAAGGGAATTAAGAAGAGGAACTTAAGTCCACCTAGGGAGTGGCTCTGCCTCTCCCCTGGTGCCATCTTTATGGCCATGCGCAGCTATGCCAATGGCATTGCCTGGCCTTTGGGTCCTGGCAGAGCTTGTCAGCACATCTGCACACAAGCAGATGAATTTCCTTGCGTACGCAAACACAGGGAAGGTTTCAGACCTCCTTGGTAGCACTGTTTGTGCATGTGGAACCCCGAGAGCGTGTGCTGATGGCCGGGGAAACTAACTCACGCAGAGATGTGCTGCAGCGCTCTCGCGGGACCCAAGCCTGGTGGCACATCTGGGCAGGGATGTGCTTACCTAGGCGAGAATTGTGGAAGTGCTACTTTGCAGCACAAATAAAGCACTTAAAAAAAAAAAAGAAAAAAAATGTTATAAGAGAGGGATAAGGAAAGGCATCACAACATGCTCCTTTAGGATGGAGGTCTGAAATAATTAGGGATGTTTAACTTAGGGTAAAATAAGAATACATTTTATTTAACTTTTTTTTTAAACTTGTAAGGTTGCTTTAACTGTCATCATTTGCAGATCAAAGGGAACCCCTTTGATCTGCATACCAATGAAACAGAGTAAATATGATGTAACAATAATATTATGTCATGTCATATTTCTCAATGAAGCATATGGACACTGTTTAGAAACTTTTTCACCACAGCAGCTGTAGGTGATCTCATTTTGACAGCTAGGATTTGCTGGGCAAAATTTTTTTTTCTCTTGGACAAATTGGGGATTGTCAGACTGTAACAAACATTTGTGGCTGCATCATATTATTTATAGCATGTCTATTGGAGCATACTTTGTGGCAGAACAAGAGGGAACACTGCACTAGGTGTCTAGATTGAGTTTTGTGAATTATATCAGGCCAAGTACCTTGTTTTCCAGGAGGGATTTGGTCAGGGAACTTACAGCCTTCATCCTTTAATACTCATGGT